GATCAACTCTTTCTTGATATCTTGTTAATGGAAGTAAGAGGGAAGTCAATTTCATTTTCAACATATAAAAAAAAGAAAATTATTGAAAGAGAGCAACTATTGGAAAGAGAAATATTAGAATTAGAACAGAATTTAACAGATCAGTCAATTAATGAACTCGAAGAAAAACAAAGAGAAGTAGAAGAAATAAAGAATATAAGATTTAAAGGTCAATGCATAAGGTCAAAGGTCAAATGGATTGAGGAAGGAGAAAAACCCTCTAAATATTTTGTAAGTTTAGAATCAAGAAACTATGTGAGTAAGCAAATACCTAAAATAGAAAAGGACAATGGATCAATTGTCTCTTCTCAAATTGAGATTTTAAATGAAACAAAAGTTTTTTACGAAAACTTATACAAGAAAAGGGAAAATGTAGAGTCAGAAAATATTTATGAAAGACTTAAACAATATGATATTCCTAAATTAAGTAGAGAGGAATCAAACAGTCTGGAAGGACCAGTAACAAATCTTGAAGTTTTTAATTTCTTAAAACAAATGAAAAATGAAAAAAGTCCAGGACCTGATGGATTTACGTGTGAATTTTTCAAATTTTTCTGGAAAGATATTGGCTCCTTTATTACAAGAGCAATAAATAATTCAAATGAATTACTTCAATTCTCAGATTCAAATAAATTGGGAATCATTACGTGTATTCCGAAAGCAGGAAAGGAAAAACAATTTCTGAAAAATTGGCGACCCATTAGTCTTTTAAATGTGGTTTATAAAATAGCATCAGGATGCATCGCTGAACGAATGAAAACTAAATTGGACAAATTGATAAACAGAGATCAAACTGGATTTATTAAAGGTAGATTTATCGGGGAGAATATTAGACTGATATATGATATAATGCATTATACAGAATACAATCAAATACCTGGCCTATTGATGTTAATTGACTTTGAAAAAGCATTTGATACAATCTCTTGGAATTTTATATATCAAACCCTTGAATTTTTTAATTTTGGGCCTTCTTTTATAAATTGGATTAGAACCTTTTATAATGGTATTAAATCATGTGTTATACAAAATGGATTCACTTCAGATTATCTTTTCCCCCAAAGAGGCTGTAGACAAGGTGATCCAATCTCACCATATCTCTTTTTGCTGTGTGCTGAAATTCTTGGAATCTTAATTCGAAATAATCAAGATATTAAAGGTATAACAATTGAAGGTGAAGAGTACAAACTTTCGCAATATGCTGACGATACCTCTCTTATCTCGGATGGTTCACCAAGATCCATGGATGGTATTCTCCGAGAATTAGATTATTTTGCCAATATATCAGGTTTAAAAATAAATTTCTTAAAAACTAAAATGATATGGATTGGAAGTAAAAAATTCTCAAGGGAAGTATTCCATCACTCGAGGTGGAAGCTGGATTGGGATAATACAAATTTTGATCTTTTAGGAATAAAATTTTCAGTAAACTTGGATGAAATGCCTGACTTAAATTATTCCATAAAACTAAATGAAATCAAAATATTGTTAAATAAGTGGAGGTTGAGGAAACTTACCCCAATTGGAAGGTTAACAGTAATTAAAACTTTAATATTACCTAAACTAAACCATTTAATTCTTACTTTACCAAACCCTAAGTCAGAATTTTTGAAGATGTTTGAGACAGATATGTATTATTTTTTATGGGGTAGCAATATTCATAAGGTAAAGAACAAGAGGCCCATGGGCCACATCGCTCACCTGAGCACATTGGCTAGGGAAAAAAAAGCAAAAATCAGTTAAGTATTGAAAAGTAAATGGGGGGGGGGGGGGGGGTGAATTTTAAACTACCTGATGATGCTTTCATATCAATATAACAAATGGCATTGCTGTTCTTGAGCAGAAGATTTTTTCCCATATATTCATTTGTAAAAATTTGATCCCCCATTGTGGCCCCACCCTACCCCCGGGGTCCCTCATTTGAACAAATTTCATTCCACACTACCCAAGGATGCCTCCATATCAATTTTACTAATCATGGCTTTTCTGTTCTTGAGGAAAAGATTTTTTCCTGTATATTTCTATGTAAAACTTTGATCCCCCATTGTGGCCCAACCCTACCCCTGGGGGTCATGATATGAACAAATTTCATTCTACATTACCCAAGGATGCCTCCATATCAAATTTACTAATGCAGGCTTTTCTGTTCCTGAGAAAAAGATTTTTTCCTGTATATTTCTATGTAAAAGTTTGATCCCCCATTGTGGCCCCACCCTATCCCCAGGGGTCATGATTTGAACAAACTTGAATCTACACTACCAGAGGATGCTTCCATATAAATATGACCAATCATGGCTTTGCTGTTCTTAAGAAGAAGATTTTTAAAGATATTTTCCTATATATTTCTATGTAAAACTTTGATCCCCCATTGTGGCCTCTCCCTACCCCCAGGGGTCATGATTTGAACAAACTTGAATTTACACTACCTGAGGATGTTTCCACATAAGTTTCATCTTTCCTGGCCCAGTGGTTCTTCAGAAGAAGATTTTTAAATGATGCCATTATTTTTTCACTAATTCCTAATTATCTCCCCCTTGAAAGAGGGTGTGGCCCTTCATTTGAACAAACTTGAATCCCCTTCACCCAAGGATACTTTGTGGCAAGTTTGGTTGAATTTGGCTCAGTGGTTCTTGAGAAGAAGTCGAAAATGTGAAAAGTTTACAGACGGACAGACGGACGGACGGACAGACGGACGACGGACAAAATGTGATCAGAAAAGCTCACTTGAGCCTTCGGCTCAGGTGAGCTAAAAATGTTATAATCCAGGACTATAAATATGGAGGTCTTAAAATGATTGATTATACAGAATTCATTTCTGCTCTCAAATCAAGTTGGATCAGAAGACTTATTCACTCAAATGCAAACTGGGTAAAACTATTTGAAGCTGAAATAAAACTAGACATAAAAAATCTTTGGATAAGGGGTTCTGATTACATTCTGAATCTTTCAATAAAATTAAATAATGTTTTTTGGAAAGAAGTCCTGTCAAGCTGGGCAAGGCTAATTAGGATAAATCAAGAAAACAACAGACATGTGCTCTTTGAACATATATGGAATAATCCAAAGATTAAAATTAACAATAAATCTTACTTTTGGAAAAACTATTTTAATGAAGGCATTGTTTTTCTTATTGACCTTTTTAACAATGAAGGTAGTTTCATAAGTTTTGACTCCTTAATAAACTTGAAAGTGAAAACAAATTTTATTGAATATAATGGTCTTAGGACCGCAGTGTTAGATAGACTGAAAAATATAAACAATAATGAAACTAAAAATATAAAGTCAATTGGACCACATATTCCAAATTCCATTTATGTGTATTATAAACATGATAAAGGTTGTAAGGACATGTACAATATATTTATAAGTAAAAAGAAAGAGCCAGTCAACTCGCTCAAAAAATGGAAAGAAAACAGTATTTCCCTTTGTGAAGCAGACTGGAATAAAATATTTGAACTTCCTTTTAAAATATCAAAAGAATCTAAATTTCAATGGCTACAATTTCAACTATTACATAGAATCATTCCAACTAATTATTATCTATTTAGACTTAAATTGATTGATTCTCCAGCATGTACTTTCTGCAGAAGTGATATAGAAACAATTGATCATTTATTTGTAGAATGTTTTTATGTAAAAGAACTCTGGAGTACCATTGAAGAATGGATTTTCAACAAGTTTAACATCCACTGTAGTTTTGATAGACAAGCAATACTATTTGGTAAATTTGAAAATATGAATGTTTATAAATTTCAGAATCTTTTAATACTTATTGTAAAACAATTTATTTTGGGTAGTAAATATAAGAAGGTCCTAAAAATAAATGTTGACGCTGTACTAAAGGGGATCACAGATAGAATTTTTATTGAAAAAGTTTTGTTGTTTAAAAGTTGTAGATATGAGGAATATGAAAGGCATTGGCAAAATATTTGTGATGCACTGTAATTAATACAGATATATATATTTCCTATTACCTATTTGATTCAGAAGAAAAAATTAGATTGATTATTTACCATTTTGTATTATTTGTAATATAGAATAATTGTTTTCTTTGCTGACCCCCCCCCCTTTTTTTTGTTTCTGTTTGTTTTTTTTCTCTCTCTCTAAACAACTTTCATAGTGTATAAAAGTAGATCTGTGTAAATATGATTAAGACAAGACAAAATATGTGTAATCGGATGTTAACTTGTACCAAATGATGAAATTTATGTTGTATACATATACCTATGAAAGTGTTATAACAATAAAAAAAAAAAAAAAAAAAAAAAAAAAATATTTTGTCAGAAAGTTCAGTTAAGCTTTTCTGAATATTGTGTCTGGAGGGGAGTGGGGTATTTTTCATTCAAAATTGAATGTAATTGAAAAGTAATTGTGAATTACATGCTTTTTCTCAAAAGTAATTAATTTAATTACAATTACATGTAATTGAAAATTTGGTCAATTACACATTACTTTCAATTACATCGAAATTTGTAATTAATTACGGTCAATTAACATTACACATTACCATTACCCCATCCCTGTAGCTGATATGAACTTTTGTGGGATTATGTGGACTCATTATGGCAGCGTGGCATAATTACATAATCTTTCACGGACTTTTTTTTTTACCAAACTTTAAAAAGCACTACGTCGAATTATTTGAGATGTAGAGTTCAATATGCATGTTGCGTGATGTTATAGGCACATACTAATGTATCACTTTCAGCTTAGTCAGGGCCCCATCCCTGATAGCTGCGATATTTTTTTCTCTAGTTTAAAAGGAAACAATTTCTTTTCTATAAAATAGGTCGGGGAAATAAATTTCAAACAAAAATGTCTTAAAAGGATTTTTTAACAAATCTAATTAAAACCTTTAAACACTTCTGTGGACGTGCAGCTTAAAAAAGTAGGATTTACCTACAAACATTCCTGAGGACTTTGAACTTTCCTACAAACATTCCTGAGGACTGTGTTCTTACCTACAAACATTCCTGAGGACTTGCAACTATCCAACCAGAGAGGATTAACAATGGGGACTCCTCTAGCCAAACAACACAAAAACTTCACTGTTCTCCTAACCTACAAATATTCCCACACTCAGGAATTTAAAACAAGTACCAGTACTGCCATCTAAGAGTAATCATGCAGTCTTTAACTACGTAAAAAAAAATCAGTACAATTTGTTATATCTGACCTTGTCTGTGACCAGGTGTGTACATTCCTGAACAGCATCTACAAGGTGTCCTCCTAGGTCCTTCACTACCTGATGGTAAAAATATATATAAATATAGAAACTAAATACTGTCATTGATAGATTCAATTTCAATGTTTCTTCAATTTAAATTCTCCTGATGTGATAAATTCAATTTTTGAATAGCAATATATTTCTCATTGTTTTGGCATAACAAAATCTCTGGAGTTTCTTTTTTATTTTAGTCCGCGTTTGATTTTTTTTTTTTATTTAAAGTACACATGACAGTTCAATGATTTCATATTCCTCTTCTTAATTTTTTTCCCCTTCATCTTGTTACATCCACGGGTGCTTAAGGATCCCCCTTTTGAATACACACCCCTTGGCATTTTTTACTTTTTTCTCAAAAATTAGCTTTTAATGACATATTACATATAAAATTTTACAAAAATTTCAAAATAATAATATATAAAATGCCTTTTGTAAACTGCAATCCCATAGGAAAGTGACATAACTGGGGACTAAACTGATATACATTGTAAAAGTCTAACCTTCTGTCCTTGTTCATCTGTAACTCCAGTAAACATTACTTTGGGTTTCATTGGATCCACAGACTTTCTCCTCAGTGCTGCTGATGGTGAATCTGTTGTTTTAGCAGATTTTTTTCCCTGTTGAGGGGTTGATGGAGGCTCCATTTTGGATTTCTTTAATGAAACTTCATTTTTGGCCTGTGAATACATGTTTTTGAGAGGATATTTTTACATTGCTTGTGTAGTGGTGAAAACATTTGGTATGAACATTTTAAAATTGGCAAGTCATCACAGCACAAATAATTTTTTCCCAGTATTTCCAATGTTAATACTGTATACAGAGTTATAATTTAGCACCGTTTTAAATTTGCTAACATTTGTGTTTTCTTTGAATTTGACCCCTTTTAAAATTGCAATGAGGGCAAAAATAAAACAGGGGCAAAACTGTTTTAGTACTTTGTTTCTTAAAAAATAAAAATGTGTTTGTGGAACAATGATGGCAGGTTTTGTAAAAGTAGATCAATGTCATGGGGTAAAAAATATTGATACCCAAAGAAAGGTCTTGTCACAAGGAATACACAAGTGCAATCTGAAAGCCTTAGTATCAACTGTTCAGAAGTTATGGCCAAGGTTTCAGTTTTAGAACTCCAAAGTAAAGGTCAAGAGGTCAAAATGTTGGTACTCAGAGAAAAGTCTTGTCACAAGGAATGTGAAATATGAAAGCCTTAACACCAACTGCATAGTTGCCAACTCACCCGATTTCGTCGGGTTACACCTGATTTTTCTACCCTTAACCCGATTATTTTTTATGACACGGCGGGTCATGCTTTTCACCCGATTTTTGCCGAACAACCCGAAAATCTCCCGATTTCCGGATTTGGTTCGTAAATTAGGTTGCACTTTAAACTTCCAGTTACAACCCAAGCTTGGATTTACGTAAACAATGCCGATGGCTATGTTCAGTAGGCCGTGTGTACCATTAAATTATCAGTGCAGGTGTAAACAATTACCAGAGTTGTTTTGACAAATTAAAGTTTGAAGTCAATTTAAAATGGCTTCCGATAGAACGAGCTGGTTATCAGGGCCAGCAGGAACAAATTGAACCAAGAAAAAGAGAAACGATATTTATGTACATATCAAGGAATCTTGGAAAACAACTTTCATTAGATAAAATAAAGTGTTCGAAGATAGTGTAGGCATAACTGTACATTGAATAGCACTTGTTAATTAAATTAATTCAAGAGAGAAAAAATTACTTCAAAACCAAAATTTGAATACAAATCTAGCACAAATTTCCTTGTGCTTCAAATCGGCAATGCAGATTTTGAAAGACTTTCCTTTAACTGTAAAAAAATGCACACTTAATTCAGGTCAATACTGAATAATGAAACCTTCAATGCTCTTATTTAACATGTAATTTAATCAATATAAATTAAATTTTTCTCATTGCAAGTTAAAATGCTTATATATATATATATATATATATATATATATATATATAGATATAGATATAGATATATATATATATATATATAATTTAATCATGGTAAATGTGTCGTGAATGTCGTTACGCGTTATGACCAGATTTTTTACTTTCCAAATCTGGTCATGACCAGATATTTACATGTTGGAGGTTGGCAAGTATGCAACTGTTTAAAAGTCATGGTCAGGTTTAAGTTTTTTCAAAAGAAGGTCAAACTCAAAGGTCAATGTCATAATTTCAGAAACATTGGTATTTAAAGAAAAGCCTTGTAATAAGGAATACACTTGTGAAATACGAAAGCCCTAGTACCAACATTTAAAAGTGACAGCTACCTTTAATTTTTTTCAAAAGTAGGTCAACTTCAAGGTCACGATTTCAAAAATGTTGGTACCTAAAGAAAAGTCTTGTTACAAGGAAATATATATATGTGAAATACAAAAGCCCTAGCCCAACCTTTTAAAGTTAAAGCCAAGGTTAGTTTTTTTTCAAAAGAAAGTCAAACTCCAAGGTCCTAAGGTAAAAAATGTTGGTACCCAAAGGATCTTGTAATAAGGAAAATATATGTGAAATATGAAAGCCCTAGCACCAATTTTTTACAGTTGTTGCCATGATTAAATTATTTTTAAGGGTGGATCAAACTCAATGGTCTAGGTCAAGCGGACAAAAATGTTGGTACCCAAAGATAGGTCTTGTCACAAGGATCTCATACGAAATATGAAAGCCCCAGCATTAACCATTTTAAAGTTATTTTAAAGTCATTTTAAAGTTATGGGCAAGGTTTAAGTTTTACAAAAGTAGGACAAACTGCAAGGTCATGAGGTCAAAAATGTTGGTACCCAAAGAAAGGTCTTGTCACAAGGAATACATAGGTGAAATATGAAAGTCCTATAACAAACCATTCAAAAGTTATGGCCAAGATTAAAGGGGAAGGAAATAAGCACCACCTTCAAATTTACCTGGAAGTATCATGTGATTAAACATATAATTATATTTCCAGGGGCTGACAAATCCCATTGCCTGACGCCCGGGGCTAGTGAATTTTAGAGGCGGGCAAATGAATCTTTTATAGGCACTTGTCCGTGGGCAACTAACTTTAAAAAATCAATCCATAATTTAAAAAAAAATGTCCTAGTTTTACACGAAATCGAAACTATTTTGTCTTAAAAGTTATCTTCCTTTGCTTATCAAACTTCGAAAGTGATCTTTCATTATCAATTCATTGCAAGTCTTGCCGAAACTTTAAGTGAACCAAAAGAGACAAATTGGCATTGGGGAAATGGAGAAAGTTTAAACAAATATGTGGCAGAAAAACGATCAGAGCTGATGAAAAGTACACCGTCAACACTCATAGTCTGGTTAGTAATGATGTTAGCGAAAGAACCACAAAATGGTCTAAGCATACTAAGTATGAGAAAGAAAAACAACGGAAACAATTATTCCTACCAAATGGCAAAAGACATGTGAAGGGCTGAATTACAATTTGGCTGTAGTTTTCAACTGTCACCAATGTTCAGAACAACATTTCAGTGATTCTTAGTACAACTGTACCGAAAATTTTCCGATTTGGAGACGAATTTATTCATTATGATGAATATGAAATGCTGGATAGTAGACTACAATGAAAGAATGAAAGGGAATGTGTTTTGTTGTTTTAGATGAAATTGAAACTATTTTGTCATAAGAGTTATCTTTAATTTATAGTTTATGATGGGGTCAGCCCCTGATTTCTAAAGTTTTACAAGTATGAGAGACATTGTAATACTGTTCAATGGAGTGAAAATTTATAAAGCTTCAACAGAGTGCAAAAGAGTAAAATAACCATTCTTGGGAGAGAAGTTACCAGTATCATAACAACTGTGTTTGTGATGTCTGATTCAATTCCCATTTTGCTTGTACAAGCTACTGGGAACCACAACAGGATGCTCTGGCCATTTTTACAGACATTTTCTATGAAATTTAGCCCCAAATCAGGGTTTTTAAGTCTTTTTAGTTAGAGGCTCAGTCAGGACTTCACAGACTTTTTCCATTTTGTTTAGCACACATGGCACAAAACAACGCAAAAAGCAGATAGCAACAAGTCACCTGAGTGACTCAGGTGAAAAAAAGAATACTTCCATAATTCTAAAACAACAATAAAAAATGCATTTAATTTTACATGTAAATAAGAAAACAATCTTTGGGCAGAATCACTGAATGATGTGTTTGTGTTAAATTTTACTGTATACAGTACCTCTGCAGTGCTGTGTCTGCCACGCCCCCTTTTAGGGGCTCCTTTTGGCTTGTTACTATCCTGGGAGTCACTGCTCATCTCTGTGTCAGAGGTACCAGGTGGGGTATCCTGGTCATTTTTCACCTTTTTATTGCTGCCCTTTTTAGCTGAAGATTTCACATTATCAGCCTCACTCTGTCCTGACACTGAGCTGTCTCTGCTCCCTGATTCACCACCACCTTTCTCTGTCAATGAATGACCTCCTCCTCTTGACTTTCGCTTGGAGCCACTGTCGTCCTGTGTGACTTGACTGTCAGTCTGCTTTGTCACAGCCTTTCTTCTCCTTCCTCTTGTTGGCTCAGCAGATATAAAACTTTCCTGACTTTCTTCTGTTTTAACATCATGCACCTGTTTGGTCACTGACTTCCTTTTACTTTTCTTATCAGAATCACCATCACTAACTTCACTTTCATCCACCATGTCCTTATCCTGTTCCAGTTTTTCTTTGCCCCTTCCTTTCTGTTTTGTTTTTGTTTTACTTTCACTCATCACACTGTCAATAATCTCCTTACTCCCTTTTTCACTAGTATTGCTAGCTCCTTTTTTAGTTCTTGTGTTGTGAGATGAGGTGCTTGGTAATTCCTGTGAATCATTGCTAGTTTCTTCACTGATGATACTTAAGGCTTCTTTTTTCCTTGACCTTCTGGATCCAGGCTTAGAAATTGTTTCACTATTGTCCATTTCCATTTCTTTGTCTATACTTTCACCAGAAGGTTGTTCAAGCACATCCTCTACTTCTGAACTCACTGACGTTGCTGATACATGTATATCACTTTTTGTTCCTCTACCTTTCCTTTTTGTAGGAACACTCTCAGTTTCTGCTTTAGTGGAGCTTTTACAACCTTTGGTTTTTTTGTTCATTTCCTTTACAACTGGAGATTCTTCTGTTTTTCTTTCCTCAATATCATGGTCCTCTACTTTTTTCCCTCTAGATAAATGAGTTTCAGAATCTGTTGGTTCTTTATTTTTCGCTCTATCAGCAGTGTCACTACTCTCCTGTTTTCCTCCTTCAGATTTAACAGCCTTTACATCAGACAATGACTGATCTACTTCATTATCTACTGTTCTCCTTTTACGCCTTCCTCGGCCTTGGCTGATGCTTCCTTCAGGCTGTTCTGAATTCTGAGAGACTGGTTCTTGTGACTTGCTGCCACGCTTTCCTTTTTTACCTTTTGCCATGTCTCTCTCCACTCCCTCATTTTGCATCTTTTCACCACTCTGAGAAGAAGTGGGTTCCTCAGAGTGGGATTCTGTTTTAACTTGCTGGGATTTTCTCTTTCCTCTTCTTCCACCACTACTCCCCTGAGAAGATTCTTCTTCCACATTTAATTTTTCATCCCCTTTCTGTGTGATTACACTTTCACTTTCCATTTCTTCCAAAGGTGGAGTTTCCTCCACATCAATTACTTTCACCTGTTTATCTTTAACTCCTTGTGTTTCTTTACTCCCTGATTTATTTGTTTTTGTTCCTCCTCTTCCTTTTGCAGATGATGGTATTTCAGCCTCAGATGGTGGATCTAATGATAATTTCTTGATTTTTCCTTGGGTAGGGATGGCTGCTTTTGTGAGATTTGGAAGAGATCTTCTATTTCTTCCAGTAGACCTTGATTCTGGAAACTCCTCTGCAGGTTTTAGTTTGGATCCAGTAGCTTCATTCAACAGAACTTCTGACTCTCTCTACAAATACAAGCCCCACATAAATGCATTGTTTAAAATCACATTTAAACTAGAGGCCCACGAGCCACAACACTCACCTGAATCAATTTGATGTTTTCATCACCAGATTTTTTTCTCCTATACATTCTTATGTAAAACTTTGATCCCTAGTTGTAGACCCATCCTATCCTACTCCTGGGGGTCATGACTTTAACAAACTTGAATCAACACTACCTGAGGATGCTTCCATATCAATCTGACTAATAATGGCTTTGCTGTTCTTGGAAAGATTTTTTAAAGAATTTTTTCCTATATCTTCCTATGTAAAAGTTTGATCCCTCATTGAGGTCCCTCTTTACCCCTGGGGGTCATGAATTGAACAAACCCTGCACTACCTGAGGATGCTTCCATATCAATATATGACTAATCATGGCTTTGATGTTCCTGAGAATAGGATTTTTTCCTATACACTCCTAAGTAAAACTTTGATTCCCCATTGTAAACCCACTCTACCCCAAGGGTCATGATTTGAACAAACTTGAATTTACACTATGTAATGAAAGTTTCATATAAGTTTCAACTTTTCTGTCCCACTGGTTTTTGAGAAGTAGAATTTTCAAAAGATGCCACAAACTTTTCTCCAATTCTTTAAAAATCATCTCCTCTTAAAAGAGGATGTGGCCCTTCATCTGAACAATTTTGAATTCCATTCACTAAAGAATGCTTTGTGGCGAGTTCGGTTGAAATTGGCCCAGAGGTTCTGGAGAAGAAGTCAAAAATGTGAAAAGTTTACCTATAGACAGACAGACAGACAGATGCACAGACAGACTCTGGACAAAATGTGATCAGAAAAGCTTACCTGAGCTTTCAACTCAGGTGAGCTAATGTAAAGTATAAGAAATCTGCTATAATTTACAAGAGGAAATGTGTTGTGATATACGTACTTTTTCAAAGTGGACTTTTTTAGGTGAGGGTGACCTTCTTCCTGGACTGGCCAATGCTGACTTGTGTGGAGATGAGGGGGGAATTGGTACAGGCTGAAAAGTACAGTTATCATGATTATACCAGAAATAAAATTCAAGGTGTTTTTCCAAAGGTTAAAATGTACTTTACATGTCTATCAAATTTAATACAGTTGAACTTTGTCATCTTTAACACCAATATTTTGAACATCACTGATATGTCAAAAAGTGTTGGGAGTCCCAGCCAATTTTTCTTTAAGTGTTTTACCCTTGTTGATAAATTCAAGATAAGAAGGTTTGAATGTTTATGTTAACAATTAACATTTTCACGCTTCACATTTCTCAATACCGTATTTGGCTGAATATAATATGCACTTTTTTCCTGAAAAATGTTTTTGTGAGCAAGGGGTGCGTATTTTACACCATAATAGGATTTTGATAGTTTTTTCTTTCAGGTGAAACACGCCTATCATACAGACATATCATAGTATTACCTAGAAACATGGGCAATTTCTTGTTATCGCTGTATTTAAGGGGATGAAGGACACATGGTCACATGACTGTTTTACTACGTCATAGTCACCGTTTATATAAGTGCAAAATGTGTAAAGCATCAGTTCTTGTATATATTTTTGACAATTTTTTTTTACTTTAATTACCATCTTATACATATATATTTAAAAAAAGTTTTACATTCTTGTAAACATTAACAAATTATGAAAAAGATTGATCCACTCCTTTGTTTCCCTAAACTGCACGTCTCCAACAAGCCGTGACGTCATACACGATCTGTTAGTACAGCAAGATCATACTCGGTGAATGCAGGGGCAGTATTATAATGTAAAAACAGGTAATAACCAGAATATAATGAATTATTTTAAGAAACGGGGAACACAAAAATTATGTTTGCATGGCTGATGAGGGAAATCTTATGTAGGTATATCTTATTTCGCTTATTTAGCTTACGTGTGACGTCATAGTTGGTTTTTCCCATACTCGAGAAATGAAAACATGACACGTTTTTGTCCTGCTTATGTCCTCTTAAACGATATCCTGTGCAATATTGAGGTCAGCTTCACCATTCGAAATTTTTACAGTTAATCAATAATTTGAAGGGCTTGCATTTCAACGTAAATTTAAAAATATTGAATGATAGAATCTTTTGTAAATTATGTTTTTTGTTGTTTAAGTTGTCTTAAAAAGTACGTAATTTTCCCTATCCAGATGCAGAGTGATAGAAGAAACTTGCTTTTTCGAATTTTAAACCCTATTCATACTCTGAAATATTTTAAAAGATACATGTCCACTTACATATTTTTTATATATGCTTAAAAAATCTCATTATGGACAGAGTAATGAGCCTGGAAACATGGAGAATTAAAACTACACTTAGATACTGTAAGGCATAGTATCTGTCAATCAATATCTTGAAAATAAGGTCAGAAACCTAATGATATAACTGCTTTAAGATATGTGGGACATACTTAATTAGAAATATATAGAATATTAAAAAAATTGAATGACAGGTATTTTTACAGCTCAAGGTTCTTCTTCCCCTTAAAACTTCGGAAGATTATTGTTGGAAGGTAGGCCTGTTGAGAATGTTCTATTTATAATCTGTTGATAATGATAATTTGTTGTTAAATGATATTTAAAACAAGTTAAAATTAATTTGAGCTGCATATTCGTCGTCTCCATGTAGGCCGCCATTGACGATGTTATTTATAGACGTTCACGCATTCCTTTGCCACGTGCTTGCGCAATCATTGTACACACATGTACCTTATCAGACACTTGGTAGGGAAAAAAAATTGAGCAATTTCTATAATGAAATACAATAAATCAACATTTATTTGGGGTTTTAATCAACACGGTGAAAATACATTTCAACATAAACACCCCACTATACCACTGTATACTATATGTCCCAATCGAAGCCAATGTTGCAAACACCTGTGCTTGTCACTTGATTTCAACACCCCTCCAGGCAAATAAATTGTCTATCAACTCCTAAGCATTGTTTTTACAGTTAGAGCAATGATTATTTACTGTCCTTAATAATGGCTTTGATTGTTTTCTTTGTTAAAATTCAGGGGTCGAATTTTAGCCTTCGTACATTATCTTTCGTATGAACTTGTGTTGATTACCACATATTAAACAGTTAAACACTTGTTAAATGTAATTTTACTTTAATTATCTTATATTTATCGGCCTCTTGTTAAATTAATTAAGAGTTTAAAAAGGAAATAAGAAGTCTGTTAAAACTTAAGTGTTATAATTACTCATGCTCTGTAGAAAATAAGATATCTGCGAAGATTACATGTACCTCGATATATAAAGACATGATTTATGCTGTGTCAATCTGTTCAAACTAAAATTCAACAGAATTTCATGCTTTGTTAAGATAAAATTATTTCAGCAAGGATAAAGACGTGTAATGTCACAATTGCCGTTAGCTAAAAATAAAATAAAATGCAATATTTCATGCTTTCTTGAATAAAATCATTACCACACGAAGATTTAAACAGCAATGTTTAAGTGGAAGATTTATATATTTAGCCTGATATAAATTTAATGGGACGACATTGTGTGCTTTGCTAAAATTAATAAAATTATACCGCAATATTTAAAGACATCATTGCCGTTAGCTTAAAAATGATTTATAATGCACAATTTAATTATTTCTTTGAATAATACTGCCATGCTCAAAATCAGGAGTACCGTAAGCTCAAAAAAAAAAGTCCGTGTATGAAAATTTATCGTGCTTAAATTTTCAATACATCATTTCCACAAAGAATTTAAGTTAAAATAACCGGATGTAAAAAAGACAACATTACTGCTTGGTCAATTTTTTTGACAGCATATAATACAACCAAACTGCGTTTTTCCCCAAATTTTCAAGTCAAAAAAAGGGGTGTGCGTATTTTACACCAATGCGTATTATATTCAGCCAAATACAGTAATTCATAATTCAGTCTGTTTTATCACTCTGTTAAGCAAATCCTTCAATCAATATTGCCTTATGGTTTGACTAAAAACTGGAATAATTTCTCAAAACAAACATTACGATATCATACCAAAACATCCGGTTTTTCTTGTATTATTTTAACTGGTTCAACAGGTGTGCTATCCTCTACCTCTACTCCCAGTAATTCTGAGATTGGTGGTGTAGTGCTTCCTTCATCTGTTGAATTTTTCTTTGATATATTAAATGTAACTAGAACTGTCCAATAGGGACAAATACCCCCCGCTGGGTTTTTCAGAGAAAGTACCAAATCACTAATGTTTTCTAGATGTGAGAGGTGTTCACAATTTCCTTAAATATTTCCAGTGAAAATTTAATTACTCATTATATTTTTTATACGTCCATCTTAAGACGGGACGTATTATGTTATAGCGTTCATGTCCCTCCGTCCGTCTATTAGCTTTTTCATGTCCGACTCATAACTTTAATACTATTAGGCCTAGAATTATCAAATTTTTTCAGCTGATACATCTAGGGTAGAAGGTTGTCGCACATTAAAACCAGGTCGTTCTGACCTTTAATAAAGACGCTATGGCTAAATATGGAAAAATCATAACTAGAAAACCATTAGACTTAGAATCAAAAAAATTTGTCTTTAAACTTTTAAATTACACAATCCCAAAAGATGTCGGAGTATTGCAGTATCTTTATTAAAAAAGTGTTAAATCAAGAAAATACTAGTCTTATTTTTTTTCATTATGTTCTTTACACCAATCTGTAACAAGAAAAATTCCACCTCTCCCATGGGTGTAATGATCAGGCACTGGTCAAGGAAAATTTTGATAGCAGAAAATTGCATGTCAAATTAGAGATAAATTAATGAGTTTAGTGTGAGGTGATAACTGGTAGATCATCTCTGATCAAGCAGGTGTTATCTACATCTCTTGGGAAATGGGCAAAAGGAATTGTTCTTGTTGGCTAGTCTTACTTTCAAGATAAATTTGATGTAATTAAAACTAATTTGATATTGTTTATAATAATTAAAACTTATATGTTATTGTATAATATAATTTAAACTAATTATTTATTGTACATTTTTTATTTGAATTTTTATATCTTTACAACAAATTGCAGACTGCCTTGTCTCACTAAGATGTCATTCGACCAATTGAATCTAAACTGTTTATGATAATTTAACAATATTTGATGGGCGTATAATGCTGTGGTGGGGCACTTTATTTTAATGAATGAAACTAAGGTGCAGCCTAATAAAACATCAACACTAATAATTACAGTGTTTTTTATTACATTAAAAAATAGTTTGCAACTATCTGTCATCTTTGTGAGACATGACACTCTGCAAATTGATTGTTGAAAAAAAAATATCATAATTAATTATACAAAATCAAATTGATTTTAATACCTTTATATCAAACTCATTTTAAAAATAAAAGGCTGGTTTTAGTAACTATGTATTTTGACAGACATAAATAACAATTAAGAGACTTAGACAACAGAGATCTTTATTTCTTTCTGCCCAATTCCCCGGAGATATAGATAAGACCTGCCTGATCAGAGATGCCCTAACAGCTTCCCACACTGAACTCATTAATTAATCTTTAACTGGATGCATGTCCACTCATTACTCCCAAGGGACAAATGGATTTACACTATCTGCTGTGTAATGTAAAAACTGTTTTTAATACTTTGTGGGTTTTTTTTTAGTTCTAATGAGTAGTTTTAAGCTGTAGTTCACATTTTTGTACAGATGTTCTAGATTCTATGTCTCAAACCTTAGACATGAACCCGAAATGACTAAGTCAATAAAAATTTTAAAAAAACACCTGTAAAATGCAGAAAAATTATCAAATAATGTTGAAAATACCAGGTGCACATCTTCATATGGTAAATAATAAGTGTACAAATTTTCATACAAATCTATGCAATAGTTTCTGGGAACAGATCCAGACAAAACCACATAATAAAAATGAAAAAACACCTGTAAAATGCAGAAAAATTATTCAATCATAATGAAAATACCAGGTGCACACCTTCATATGGCGAATAATAAGTGTACAAATTTTCAGACAAATCCTTCCAACAGTTTCCAAGAAATGGTCAGGACAAAATCTCGTCTACAGACAGACGGACAGACAGACGGACAGACAGACGGACATGATGATTCCAATATACCCCCCCCTAAACTTCGTTTGCGGGGGGTATAATAAGACAGTACCCCATGAAATGGTTTAAATAAATGAAACCATGAGGGGGCCATTATAATAAACTTTTATAAAATATGAATATCCTTTCCAATCTCTGAACAATGTAATTAAAATCTGCTAAAAATGTGTTGACTTAATTGTTCAGTAGGATTAATTGTTACAAGATTTATACTGGTCTGTACTTCAAATTGATTGACAGGACAGTCAATTCTCAACATGTCTGCAAGAACCATTACCAAGTTTTTGAATGACTGGTGATAAAATAATAATTTATTTGTTTTAATTGATATTACCACCTTCCTCCATACAATAGGCCTGTGTGGGTTGTAGGTCCTCCTCATCACACACCATTGTATAAGGTACAGTCTGGGCTATACCATCAACACCTGTGTTAAAACATTAAACTGCACAATGAAGCAAAACAACAAGTTAATTTGTCAGAGCTTGTAAACTGAATTATTATTCTTCATAATAATACAGTCAATCTGACTGGTTTAGAGCATGTCATATGTCTTTCTCACCAACAGCATGACAAATGTGTTGTTTCATTTTAGATGACAATGAATTAATGCAAACGAGCAATGTACTGCAGGGTGGCATTAGATGAAAATAAAATGTTGTAAGCAGGGTTCCAAATTCACTATATATGACTCACAAAATGCAAGTAGAATATCCAAATAGCAAGTTGAAAATTTGGTAACTCGCAAAAAATTGCAAGTTGATTATTAACATTGTAACTTTACCCGGGAAAAAAATGTCCATCCCTTCCCAATTTTAGTTTTCAGTTTTGCTAGCTACAGTCTACATATCCACCATTTTTAAATACCAGCATGGTGAATCAGAATGCAAAGGTTACCAAGTTTTGATAGTCATGTGCTTCAAAAAAACAGTTGAGAACGATCAAACCTTTCAGGGTCATCGTACGTTTTTCTCTATTTTTCTGTTAAAAAATGACATTTCTAACACACACACACACACACACTTCATGTATTCTTGTTTTAAACTCAGGGTCAAAATTCAAATGTCATTTTGGGCCACAAAACATAATCTTTTGATGAAACACTAATTTGATCAATATTTTAATACATCTATGTTTAAAGTGGAAATGTTTCTGGATAGGAAAGGTTTTTTTCCTGCCATAAATTGGAAATTTTTTTCTGCAGTAAAAAGTACAAGGTCACATATTGGCATAATGTTACATAACTCATTGCTTCATTATGATTCACAAACATGCAAAATATTAAGACCCTTTGTTAAAAAGATTCATAAAATATTAAGTCCAGAGAATCAAATGGGATTCACAATTTTTTGATTGGACTTCTAAATATTACCTGGGCCAAAGGAAAATTTAAATCTTATCCTTACTTCGTTTTCAAAATATAGTTCTTACTACAGAAAGCTACTTCTCATTTTATTTTTAATAACCAGAGTGACGTGTACGTTTATACATATGATGATCACCTACTTGTGTCGGATTTCGTGTCATCCACCCTGCTATCCACTTCTTCCACCTCTGTAGTGGTTTTCTCTGTAGTAAAATCAGACACAGTCTCTTCCTTTGTGACCTCTTCACCCTTCCCTCCTGACTCCTCTGTGACATCAGCCATATTCTTGCTGCCCTTTCCCCTTCTGCCCCTTCCTTTTCTGGTAGTGGTATCCAGAGCTTTTTCCACAGGTTTATCTTCCACAATTAATGACTTTCTTTTGGATATGCGACCACTTCTCTTTGGTTGAATTTCCTCCGAATCCACTGTTACTTCAGATTTTGGTTCTGATTCTGCTGCAGATTTTTTGCCCCTGCCCCTGCCTCTCTTTCTAACAACTTGAACCTCCTCAATACCCTGTGTAATTTCAGAATGGTCATCAGTCTCAGCTTCAGTGTTTCTATCTGACCTAACTGTTGTGGATTTTGAAGGTCCACTGTCTGTTCCTTCATCAAACACCTGAGTAGGATCACATTCCAGAGCAACAGTTTCTGCTGTAGAATTACCTCTTTCCTTTACAATATTACATTCTTCATTGTCAAATACTTGTGTTGCTTCACATTCTCCAGATACGGTTTCAGCATCAGAAATTTTTTCATCCAACACTTGAGTTGAATCACTGTCTCCTTTTTCATCCTCACTTAGCTTGTCGTTAAACACCTGTGTGGCTTCATCCATGGCCACAGTTTCTGCCTCTGCTGCCTTGTTATCATCAAAAACCTGAGTTGCTTCACATTCAACAGCTACAGTCTCTGCTTCTGTGATTTTTTCATCACCGATCTCACATTCCAACACAACAGTTTCTGCTTCCGGAGTTTTTGCATCAAAGACCTGTGTAGCCTCACATTCCAGAACAACAGTCTCAGCTTCTGCTGATTTTTCATTCAAGACTTGTGTGGCCTCACATTCTATGGCTACAGTCTCTGCTTCTTTCATTTTACTGTCAAAAACCTGAGTAGCTTCACACTCCACCTGATCACATACAGCAAGTGTTGCAGCATCAGTAATCTCAGAAATCTTCTGTGTGGCATCATCTTCATTTACTTCAACCTCCACAACTGGAGCACATTTGGCATTTCTTCCATATTTCTTCCCTCCTTTAGCTCTACCTTTATTTTTAACCAATGTTTCTTCACTGATAGCTACAGTCTCATCACTGACGGCTACAGTCTCATCGCTGACAGCTACAGTCTGGTCACTGATAGCTACAGTCTGGTCACCAACAGCTACAGTCTGGTCAGTAAAGACCTGAGTTTCAGTTTCTTGATCTCCCTCTTTTGTTACAGTATCCTCGTCCTCTTCAGTGTCCTTGACATCGTCTGGAAGGTCACTGGCCAGAGTAGGATTAGCAAACAAGTGACTCATATCTGTCTCCTCTTCCTCATTCTCCTCCTCCTCCTCCACCTCCACCACAGGGATGTCCTCATCCTACAGTCACATTAACATTCAGATCTGCATCACAGACAAATAAACAAAGATCAAAGTACTTTAAGGTTGGACAAGCTGCTACTAACATTTTTTGGATTTACCTTCAGTGAAAAACTACTTAACTCACGAAAATATCTTGACCAACAATAAAATGCTCTAAAATCTTTTTTAGTCATATGTGTAATATGTTTTATATATATATATATATATATATATATATATATATATATATATATATATATATATATATATATATTAGGGATGTCAAAATATTTATTTTCTTTAGTCGAATATTCCATTGCATTATTCGAACGATAGTCGAATATATTCGAATCTTTTTCGGAAAATAAAATTTTATTTCAAATCTCATTGGTACATGACGTATTTAACCCCAAAACCTTTTTTTCAAATTTATTAAAAAGTAACAACAAAATTAATGTTACACAGAGATATTCACATGCACCTAAAATGTGGATAGCGTGTTTATATTAACTATATCTTGTCCATAAATCGGTCTGTAAAGATGTTTTTAGTAAGCATAAAAAATGACAGTACTATATATTTTTAAAGCTTATTAAAATAAATGGAGGGGGGTTAAAACACACACTATCCACACACCAGATGTCTTTGATAATGTTAAACAGTTGAACATACTTTTTGTCCCGGCTATCAAAATGTCTTTAAAATTTGTAAAAGAATATTAATTTTATAATACTTATCGTAGTGTTCAAACATGTTACGGCTATAATGGGTACATGGTATGAGATCAAGTCCAATTAATCATTTTACAAACAAAGCCCAGGATAGTGAGATTATTTTATTACAAAAACAACACATTAATTGACAAATTATTCTCGCGGAAGTGAAGCATTTCTAATTACTGTACTATCTACATGTAAAGTCAGCAGTTTTTAATGAGGAAAATTATCTTATCGACTATGTCCAAGGAAAGACGGTTTCTCAATTTTGAGAATTCCATCTCTTTATCACTCTTTTATTGAATTTATTTATTCGAATGTCGTTTCGTTATTCGATCGTCGGTCCATTCGACTGATAGTCGAATAGTCGACTATTCGTTGACATCCCTAATATATATATATATATATATATATATATATATATATATATATATATATATATATATATATATATATATATATATATGTGTGTTGATCATATGTGTAAAATGAAAACTTAATTTAAAAAAAAAAAAAAAAATAGCTAGTAAATAACCTATGAATTTTCTACCTTTTCTTCATTATCATTGTCAAGTACTACTCCCTGTAGGCCACTTCCCTTTCCTCTGAAAAAAGATTAAAAGTAGTCTTTATATATCTTAATGTACTTTGCAAAGGAGTGCCATATTTTCAACAGAAAATCAAGTTTTAGCATTATACATTGTAGCTTTACTTTTGGTGGATTGCAAAACAAAATGGGTCTATGGATTAAAAAAAAAAACTGTCCCCCTCTCTCTCATCAACAATTTGTTTAGGAGAGTAAAAGTACCATAATAAGCTGTATCTATATTACATGTACCTTTTTTCTTCAAGGAACGACTGGGTCTCAGCACAAAGGATACTCTTTTTAGGTGAATCCTCTTCAGTTGTTTCTACAGATAATGTAAAAGTGAAGATGATGAACAGTGATCAATCTCATAAATTCAGTTAAAAAAGAATCATGAACAGGGCAAAAACACAGACCCCTGGAAACACAAGAGGTGGGATCAGATGCCTAGGAGAAGTAAGCATCCCCTTTCAACCACTCACACCCCCTGTAGTCCTGTGTATTGATCAGATAAACAGAGTACTCCGTAGTAAAATTTAGTATACGAGCAATGACCTATCAAATGGTATAAAATGTCAGACAAAATGTGACCAAACAATAGGTTGTGTTTACAATCAAGGTCATTATAACAACTGTAGAATTTGTGAAAAGCTGACTATAAACAGGGTTGTTTAAATCATTGTAACATCAATGCTTGATAAGAATCAGAACATGCTCTTGTGTAACAAATCAGTTGGGTGACATAAACACCACATGCAGGTAATGAAATTTTGTGGAAAATTGCCACAAAAATAAGGGAAGTTGATGATTGAAATACTGAAGTCACACTGTCATACAGTATAATTATTAGTTGGCCATTTTCATCTGTAGTCAGTAAAACATCCAAATATAAAACAGATGTGGCAGACTCTATGGTGTCCTTTATTTCAAGTTCACTGGAAGTACACAGGAAGTAAAGAGCTAGGTTCACTTTATGCATAAAATGGCCCTGTCCTTATATAAATTAATTGACTATCACCCTCTGTCCCATTTCACATATCAAAATAAAGTAGAGACTTGGTGCTTTCATTTCCTATAATAAAATTTCTTTTTGAGAATCCAGGTATTGGAAAACAGGCTTTGACAAAATGCAATGTTCTTGAATTTTGCAGAAAACATGCGTATTTGACTACCTTCAGCAAAGAATTAAAATATGAGCACAGCCCACGATCCCAAAATTAAAACATGTTTTGTGATCTTCAGAAACAGATCATTCATTATGTAACTGCATATTTTGGATCAGAGGTTGTGCTCTATTTGAAATATTAAAAAAATACCTCAACTTTTGGCCATTTTTAAGGGAATTTATAGGATATGGGAAAAATGATGCATTTTATGACGTCATAATGCATTGACTAGAGAGAAAATTACGTCATGTTCAATAGATACACTGTCACCAAGGTTCCAAGTTATAAATACTGCATTTTCCACCAAAACTGAGCAGTTTCGATTTTTGAGAAATTCTCAGGGCCAAAAAAGGCCCTAAGTGGCTCTTGCTCTTTTTTAACTATTTGTACTATAGAAGATTTCCAATAGAAGAGAAGGGCTTTTGTCCATTAGAATTCCCAGTTACACTAAAACAAGACACTAACACATGCCAATTGACAGAACTGAATTTTCTGAAATGGCAACAATTTAATAATGTTTCTTCAACTTTAACTCAAAACCATTTAATGAATGACACTACCAGTGATCTATTTCTGGGTAAGACAAAAAAATACTGTTTCAGATACATGTATATCACATTTTACAATGCCTATATAGCATCAAACCCCAAGCTGTGGTACAACTCTATTCCTGAACACTAAGTAATAACTTCGCTTAGACAGTGACTAATTCCTTCTTGATTAAATTACATAAAATTTGGATGTGATTACTAACCTGCATCACTCTCTGCAAAGAAACGTTGAGTTGGAGCCTGTAGCAAACTCATGTCACTGACGGTCCTCATTTGTCCACCTAACCAGGGGTAACCAATTCAAAATAATCAGATAATCAGCAAATATATTTATAACTTTCAAAATTATGTTTCCAGTCTTTGTCAATATGTCTATTGTATAAGATTTAAATCAAACTATGATTTATAACTTTGTTTTTCAATTCAGAAATAAAACATCTCAAAAATATGTACACAGTTTTCCTCCAGCTTTCAGTGTCTTTTTAATTTAGTTCTATACTACATATATATGATAGAACAATCATGGTTTGATGTTGAAAAGAAAGAAAAAAACATTAACTTTGGCTTCAACTCTGTATGAGGATATTTTTCTGGTTTATATCAAACCATATTAACAGCCTCAGGGCTAGAAATAATTATTTATTAAGTAGAAGTTGGGACACACAACCCTGTGGAGTTAACTAGCCCTACTGTGAATGAATTTTATTATGCATAAAAAAAATGCTGACCCAAAGGGCACATGCCCTTTGCAATGTACTAGCCCAGATTGAAAATTCTCTGGCCCCAGACCAGCGGGCCATCAATTATTTCGAGCCCTGCAGCCTAAATAGTCCAAAAGTATAAATTCACCTACTTTTAATTAAGAAATACTGTAAATAACAAGTTTAAAAACTTCACTGGGAAATGAAGTGGGTTGGTCACGTGATCAAATCCAGTGAAGGCTGAAGGCCTTCTCAGAAGATTTGATCACATACTGACCCACTTCATTTCCCATAGTTTTTAAACTTGTTATTTATTACTTATATATATACATTTCAGACGGACAATCAAATATAATCGAATATAAATATTGCACTAACTGTTGTAGATTTTGACAAATTACACAAGGTGTAATTCGGCTTGAAAAGTGGTTACTCTTCAAATTCATCTGGCAAAGGATTCTGTTTTGAAGGGAATATTCTATGAAAGGGTACTTGTGATCAATTATAGTGAGCATATTGGTGTCTGGGAATTTTTGTATTCATGAGAACCCATATTCGATGTTTAAAAAAACACAAGAAACACGTCTGATGTTTGATAATAAAAAGTTGGGAGGAATTTCGGTCCGAAAGGGATGGATGGAGACACTTGTCCAGACCAGTTAACTTGAAATCAAGTATAAAATTTGATCAGAAACATAAAATCTATGATTTCAGTGAGGCATATTTATTATGATGTTGACATAGAGACACTGGCGATATCTTACATTGTTAAGACAACGTTCTCGATGATGGACGTGTGCCTACCAAACTTGCGAAGTGTTTGTCAGCTGTTTTGGTGTGATTGCATTACATTGATATTTTCCAACAGATTTTCAAATTTATTATGAGTAAAGTTTAATGAAAAAGAATTATAGCATTCAGAGGTCTACAAGAAAAATTAGGGTAAACGTCGAGACTATGGGCAGACATGAAACTTATAACACATAGTTTTCTATTCTCTATTTTAAATTGATCAAGAACTGTATTAAATATACATGTATATTTACATTGTAAATAAAATGATGATTATTTTACTTGCGTATTTTGTACATTTTTATACATGAAAAGCATGCTATATTGCTAAGTAGAGTAAGTCTTTTTATGTAGATGTTACTGCGCTGTGTGATTTACAGGTATGAAGATATTTGCTCTCTGTATGTTTATATAATAGAGAGATACCACAAATGCATATATAAGATAAGAGGCCCATGGTCCACATCGCTCACCTGAGCACACTGGTTAGGAAGAAGCAGAAATCAGTTCAGTATATTGAGAAGTTTTAAAGGTAGGGGGCTTAAATTTACACTAACTCAGGATGCTTTTATATCAACATTACTAATCATGGCTTTGCTGTTCTTAAACAGAAGAATTTTAAAGTTTTTTTTCCTATGTATTCCTACGTAAAACTTTGATTGGTCATTGTGGCCCCATCCTACCCACCGTAAATTTGAACAAATTTGAATCTACACTACCTGTGGACGCTCCTATAATAATATGACTCTTCACGGCTTTGCTGTTCTTGAGCAGAAGATTTTTTTCAAGATGATTCCTGTATATTCTTGTGCAAAACTCTGACCCTCTGTTGTGCCCCAACCCCCAGGGGGTAATGATTTGAACAAACTTGATTCTACAATACCTAAGGTTGCTTCTATTTGCACATCCCACCCTTACATACTATTAGTAATAAATGGGTTACATACTATTAGTAATAAATAGGAATTATGTCTAAATATACCGAGTATTCAACACCTACACATCTGTTATGTATTCAATTTCATTGAATCTTTTGCTATTAGGATGGAATACCTTAACTTCGTTATTGCTGATTCATCATCCAATTTCTTCAGCTACCTTCTGAATGCCTGACTTTCCCAAAGCTTTGCCTTATATACCCTTAACCTAGTCCATTTCAAGGGTGGTCAGGTCATTCCACTATTTGAAGTTTTCAATGCCTTTTACTTCAATGTCCCTTAACCATTAGGCCCCGCCCTACCCCCAGGTGTCATGATTTGAAATTGAATCTACACTACTTGAGAATACTTCTGTATTACAGTGGCTTCCATTTTATCAGATAGTGGTTTAACGAATATTTCGGCTATTTCAATATAATATCAGAGCACAAAACCATTTCTTATATATTTATTAATAATTTCACCTGATATTATGATGAGAAAATATTGGAATTTCGTTTTATCCGATGCAAAAATTTGGACTATCATAGTGTTTTTTGATAATCAGCACCTTGTTCACACCTCCAACTTCGTATGTGAAGCCTTTGTTTACACAGTTTGACACCAATTACATGTACCTTGACTGGCTTGAGTGCGACAATGAGTGGATTAGTTACGGCTGGACGCACACAGGCACCTTACCTGTGTCAACAGTGGGCATAGTAAATAGATATGTTTTGATTACAGTTGTGGTGATCAGCTTGGGTTCAATGATGCACTTGTTAATTATGACAATTATTTGCAATTTTTTCGGCGTGAAATTTTAATTATTGAACTGATTAGCTTGTGTATGACAATTTGCTTGGATAATGAAATAAGCCTATTCAATCATTTAACTTGGTCAATTGGCTTAATATTTATTCACTTTTCAGTGCAAAATTTATGGTAAAAATCATAAATGACCCGTTCTATAAAAATACGTCTCAAAATTCATACAATCCTTCTCCACATGGCTCTCAAAATCTCTCTTCAGCAGACAAGAATGAGACTGGTAAACTCACTCACAGTATAAAATACGTAATCGTATTAAAGAAACAAATAAAAACGAAACAATTACATATATTTAATATTTTTGTTTATTTTTAATTTACAATCTATCCAGGGAAAAATAGTTTACGGTTATTAGTCAAGCATTTAGTCTACTTCCGTTTCCAAAATGGCGACCATCGAAGAAGGAATGTAAACGTGCTGAAGAAAGATGGCAATAACTATCAAAGAATATATTCTATACTTCAATTTATTTGAAAAAAAAAAATCATATTAAATTCATAAGTAAGTGAAATAAATTATTTTTAGTAAAGTCATTAAGTAAACATGTCAAAAGAAAACGAAAGTGCAAGCTTGAAATTTGCTACGATGTATTATCAATACATGTAGCTCTATACATCTATCTTTGGACTGGGTATGGAGCAATCGGCTATTCTAATTTTTGGCTATTCGGATAAAACTAGGCTGACAACTTGACTATTTGATAAAATGGGAACCACTGTAATATGTCTAATAATGGCTTAGCTGTTCTTGAGAAGAACATTTTTAAAGATTTTTCCTATATATTCCTATGGTAAACTTTGACCCCCCCCCCCCCCCTCTGTTGTGGCCCTGCCCTACTCCCAGGGGTCATGATTGGAACTTTAATCTACACTACCTGAGGATACTTCTGTATTAATATGTCTAATAATGGCTTAGCTGTTCTTGAGAAAAAGATATTTAAAGATATTTCTTATATATTCCTACGGTAAACTCATCCTCACAATGTCAAGGTTTTGTGATTTTGGTATCCACACAAACCCTTGATATAAATCGTTATTTAAAAGTTGGACTTGCGGTTACACATGATGTAATGGGTAATTATAAACTAACCAATGAGAATTTATTCTTCAAATCCTCATTATCAAATTGCTCAACTCCAGAGTACACTTTTTTTATTGTAAGGAGGACGATCTTCAAAATCCCCGATGTTAATCATTTAAAGTAACTAGTCACAAGTCCTACAATATTGACACTTTCCATTTTAAAGACGAGTCATATTTGTTTCCAAAACTTACCGATAATAAAAGCTGTTTTGTGATTGGTTCCAGTCCTAGACCAGGAACAAATGAAATAGTAGCTTTCTAGCCCAACTTTTAAATAGTGACTTGTGTCAAGGGTTTGTGTAGAGTTCCGAAATCACAAAACCTTGACATTGTGAGGATGTGGTAAACTTTGACCCCCCTGTTCATGGATTTATCAGCCTATTTTGGGAAACCCATTTTGGGGGAATTGGGAAAAAATTAGCGGCTATTTGATGAAATTGGGAAAAAAAATTTAAAATGTTGCTTAAATAATGTATTCAGGGGGAATTCATTTAACATTTCAGCATGAACTCTAATTTGGGCAACCAAACGACAATTAAAATGGACTTCAATGAGTATAAAGTATTTATACAACTTAGGGTAGTGCATGTACATGTGTGTATGAGATTTCAATTTAGGTCATTATAGTATCTGTTTCTGGAGATTATAAACCTCCTGCAACAAATTATACTAGGTACACATTTCTAAAAGTCTTCTTTTAATATGTATTAATGCATTGAGAATATATTTTTCTACCTGAAATGCTAATGCCTAAAGTCCTTACCATTCACTCGCAGATCAATTGAGTAGATGGAAATAATTTAATAAATCTATATATTAAATTACACAATATCATCATTTTTAGAAAACGGAGGAAATTCGGATTAAAAGGTTGGCGATGTTATTTCAGTGTTTTTAAACATGTGTTATGACTGTAGCTTTGCTAAATGAGTTAATAGATGAAAATTACAGACAATCTGACAATTTTACCTTTTTTCAAAGATAATTAAAAATAAAAGCATTGTTCACCAATTGGGAAAAAATACTGCCAAATTGGGAAAAACTGAACTCATTTTCAATTGGGAATGAGGCCGAATTTCGGCCCATGAGAAGGCACTGATAAATCCCTGCTGTTGTACCCCTGCCCCATCCCCAGGGGTCATGATTGGAACTTTAATCTACATTACCTGAGGATACTTCTCTAATAATATGACTAATCATGGCTTTGCTGTACTTGAGAAAAAGATTTTTGAAGATATTTCTTATATATTCCTATGTAAAACTTTGATCCCCTCTTGTGGCCCTGCCCTACCCCTGGGGGTTATGATATGAACAAATTTGAATCTACAGTATGTAATAAAGCCTTCATATAAGTTTCATCTTTTCTTGCCCAGTGGTTCTTGAGAAGAAGATTTTTAAAAGATGCCACCAAATTTTCACAAATTCTTAATTATCTCCCCTTGAAAAAGGTCGCGGCACTTCAAGTGAACAAACTTTAATCCCCTTCACCCAAGGATGCTTTGTGGCAAGTTTGGTTGAAATTGGCCTAGTGGTTCTTGAAAAAAGTCGAAAATGTGAAAGGTTTACGGACTACAGACGGATGCTGGACACTCTTTGATCAGAAAAGCTCACTTGAGCCTTCAGCTCAAGTGAGCTAAAAATAGAGATCATTCATTTACATGTATGTTAACGTAAATAAAGCCATTAATACAGACAACTTCCTGTATATGGGGAAAAGCTGTATGCTTCATGTCCTACACAAACCTTTCCCAGAATGAGGACTTTTCTCTTCCTCTGTCTCCGACCCAGATTCTGGTAACACGACTGCAGTGCTTAATATGCCTAAATAGAAGGAGAATTTTCAATAGACTCTCTATATAAGGAAGCTACACTGCTGGCTGAAGTCTGTTTGAAGTCAACAACAATACATTAAACAATGTCCAAATATAAACACCTACCTTTGGTCTTTCTAGGGGCTGGAGTTTCTTTTACAGTTATGTCTGGGCTCTTTCTGTCTGTAAATAGCAACAATTAAAAGAGTTTATAACTACAATGTACACATTTATGTATTGTCAATGATACCATCCTTCAGGCATTACATTTGTCTGTACATCTTACCACTTTCATCCTCATCTGTGTCCAAGTCAAAATTGATTCGGCTTTTCTTGTTTCCATCTTGTTTCTGTATATAAGCCTAAAATTTTAAAGATACTATTAATTCAAATACACATAACTATTTCTGTTATTCTTACCTGTATAGGTTGTAGGAGATCCAATATACCATTTCAGTTATTCTTATTTGTGTGGGTTGTAGGAGATCCACCCTACCATTTCTGTTATTTTTACCTGTGTGGGTTGTAGGAGATCCATACTACCATTTCTGTTATTCTTACCTGAGTGGGTTGTAGAAGATCCACACTATGATTTCTATTATTCTTACCTGTGTGGGTTGTAGGAGATCCACACTGCCATTTCTATCATTCTTACCTGTGTAGGTTGTAGGAGATCCACACTACCATCACTTTCATACTCCTCTTCCTCCGACTCATATACAAGAGTGGTTACACGAGAGGTCGTCATTTGATTATCCACTGGATCACCTGGAGCTGTCTGGAATCCGGATTCAGATCCTGTCTCTGAATCCTCTGGATTGTCCTGCAAATGAAATTTATGAAACTGGAAGATAGACAAAATTGACTTCTCAAATATGAGTCTTTAAAATTGGGTATATACACTGTATTATGTACATATGTACTGGTACCTGAAAATTTATGAACAAGAAGTCTGTGAGCCAATGCTCACTAGTAATACCCCTGCTTTGATGTGAATATACACTCTGATGTGAATATACACAAGTTCAGTTATGGACAGACACAGGGATGAACAGTAAGTTGACATCAGATTTGTACAAAAATGAATCCCTTCATATGGCATGCCTCAACAAAGAGTGTGAAAAATTTCATGCATCTGCAATGAGTAGTTGCTGAGAAAACTGCGACGAAAATTTGTTATGTATGGACGGACAGATGCAAGAATAAACAGGAAGTTGACCAAATTCGTACAAAATTGATTCCTACAAAAATGAATCCCACCATATGGCATGCCTAAACAAATAGTGTGCTAAAATTTCAAGCATCTATGATGAGTATTTGCTGAGAAAATTGCGACGAAAAATTTGACAGACACACACACACACAGACAGACCCACAAGGGTAAAACAGTATACCCCCCTCTCCTTCGGAGCAGGGGTATAATTATAATGATTGTACCATTTCTTACTTACATGTTCCCCAATGATGTAAACACATTTAACATCTCCAAAGAGTAAATTCTCCTTATCCTTCAATTCATAGCGTACTTGTGGAGTCAAAAATAACTGTAAAGATACCAATTACATGTTTGTATTGACCAAAAAGAGGGGGTTCTTTCCATTAAAGGAAATGCTGTCAGTGATAACACTGCTTTATGTAGATATCAACATTGAAATGTTAATGCTAAATGAGAATTAAGATACACAGTGAATGTAAAAATGAGGACATTCACGTTCTTATTTTTCTCTGATTTATGAGAGTAAGATTCAATATTACAGTTGTTTATAATCATGTCTCCCATTCACAGCAGAACAGCTCTTAATTCCAACAGCATGGGTATATACTACAATTCATATCGCATAAAAAAAAATCTTCATCAGATAATAAATACTATGGAATGTATGACAATGGATCAATTGTTAAATTCTGCTCTTAATACTTTGAATCCAGAATCGTTTTTTATAACTAACCTTGCCCTTTCTGGTTTTATTTCTGCTTCCTTTATCATAAATCAGATGGTTTTCTCCTCGGATTTCAATGCATGCATGTTGTCTGGATAAAGCCTTTAAAAAGTTTTTCATTAAAAATTTAACCAACAACTATGAATAAGCAAAAATAATAATTGTGACTTTTTTTTGTTGATTGAAGCATTCTTGTATGTGAATATTACCTTTAAAGGAATTGCAATGTTACATACATCCTCTTGGCGTCCAATAACATTATCACCTTTAAAACAAAAGCAAACTAATTCTAAGGAACATGGAAACCATCTATGAAAAGGAAATTAAACAAAAATTCTTTTAGAAAAATAAATAATTGAAATCACCTCATCTTTCCCAATTTTCTATAAATTAAGATCTTAAAGAACATTAATCTATCAAAATGCTTTTGTATTATCACAATGCAGTTCAAAAATTTGCGTTTTACAAGTATACAAATAATGTGGCAATAAGAGTGCAACGATAAACCGTTTGACGGTATATCGCGGTACATTTTTCCATGGTTCAATTCACGATATGCAAAACTGATATCACGTTTTGGTTCAATCAGCCCAGAATTATCCGAATCGTCCGTTTTGTTTCCTAGTTTACAATTTCAAAATGGCTTCCAGGCAAAACATAAAAAAAAAAATTGACGATAACGCATTAATGACAATTAAACTCATCTCCAGCATCTTACAGACCTCTGATTTAAAACGATGAAGGACTTTATCTCATTCCTAATGTGATTAAAAGTTACAGATGTTAAGACAAGTGATAAATCCTTTAGATCTAAACGTATTTTATGGTAATACACGATATCTCATCACTCGTGTATTTCAATGAAAATTCGCTGTCTTGTCGACTAAAACGTGTGAACACGAGAAATATAGCAAATGGTTTTCTACGTAAATAAAAGGAATAAAAGAATGAATTTCTTCCTTTTTCATTCCAATTTAAAAGGAAAGGTCCCTGAAGTTCCCTGCAAATGTTCATCATTGGTTTAAAATATTGTCACAACTCAAAGATTTACCTATCAATCCAATTCAAGTTAACAAATTGATATTTTAATTATTATCAAAAAATATGAACATTTGATATAACTCTGTCAAGTTTTAAAAAATATGATGACAAACTTGAAAGACTTCTTAACCTTGTCATGTATCGTGAACTGAATACCGTGATACGTATCGTGAGGTTGGTGTATTGTTGCACCCCTATGTGGCAAACTCACCCTCGTACAAAGGGAAAAGCTTTTCTGGAAACCCTTCTTGCTTTAAAACTTTTAAAAAGGAGACCTGGAACAAATTCCAAAATAATTACAGTACTTTAATTCAGTATGACAAGCATACAAATAAATGTACAGATGTAATTTAAAGATATTTTACAATTTTTTCTCATTTTCTATTCATTCCAGCAAGCTGGACCAATTTCAATTATGGCTGAAATATACGTCAAAAATCATAACCAAACACAAACAGCTGAAAATTATAATAAAAATAATCAGCAACAAAAAAGCCTACTATTTTTTTCTCCCCATCTGTATTTTCTTCATCTGTCTCCTCATCATAATCCTCCAAATAAATCGCTTGTGTCTGTTCTAAGTCCGACATTGTCCAATCTATTAAAAAAAAACACATGTATACAAGAACTGAATGCATGGTTCTAATACATGTATTACAGACTCAAATGAAATTGGATGGGAATTGGTCACTTGATTATACCAGCGCACTCACTAGGATTTGGAAAATTTAAAACAGGCTGATAAGAGATTGTGACTTTATCTAATATAATCATGTATAATCTTTTGAATATATTACTCACCCAAAATACTAATTTAAAATTGCTGCTTTAAAAAGAAAAAAAATAATTAACATTTCTAACAAAACCACATTTAATGTTCATACAATCAGAGATTGCAGACCTCAACTCAACGAATGTTGGCTTTAAAGTAAGGCAAAGTCCCAAACTAAACTAATAATCTACATGTAGAAGTGTGCATCCCTAGATGCAATATTTATGCAATTTTGGTCTGATAGAGCTTGCAATTACTTGGGAATGGACTTATCTAAAAACTAGTCACTCATCCAAAAAATACTAAGTCAATTCCAGTATCTGAAGCAAGTTTCAGTGTTCATCCCTTGATGCATTATCCATGCAAGTTTGGTTCAGATAAGCCTTATAGCGTCTTGTGAATGGACCTGCACTTAAAACTTTAACCTGATCACTTATCTAGAAAATGTAGGTCAAATCCAGCATCTGAAGGAAGTCCAGTGGTGTGCATACTTAGATGAATCATCCATGCATGTTAGGTTCAGGTTGGCCTTATACTTTCTTGGTCATAGACTTGCTTCAAAAACTTTAACCTGTTAACTCATCTGGAAAATGTAAGTCAAATCCCGCATTCAATGCAACACTGGTAGTGTGCATCAATAAATGTATTTTCCATGCAAAGTTGGTAAGTATCAAGCTTATCAGGGATTTTTTTACCCTTTGATTCCAGGGGCCGGGGCCGTCAAGATTGGGAAAAATAGCGATATTTGGTTGAAATTGGGAAAAATATCTTCATACAAATAAATAGGAAAAAACAAGCCAAAGTCAAATATTTAATCATTTTTCTTTTTTTTATAGTATGAAGCTGGCTTAAACCAGCTTTAGTGATATGAAATAATAGCGGCTGCTGAAGTTCAGAAGCTTAAAAATGGCAAAGCCTCAGGGTATGATAACATTGTAAATGAACATATATATATACGTTGTCATCTTTTTTACCTTTATGTAAGAAGTTCTTTAAAATAACATTTGATAGTGGGTTTGTTCCAGATGAGTGGTTAATCAGTAATGTTTGACCAATTTATAAGAATTAGAGCGATTGAACCCAGCCTGAAAATTACCGTCCTAGGCAAACTGGAGAGACTGACATGATGCACGTTTATTTTTTAGATAACGATCCCGACTTAAATTTTTAAACATCGATCCCGCTTTAAAAAGTATGCATGCAAACATCCATAGTATTCCGAATAACATCTCGGAAGTCCTCGGATGGCTCGTACATCGCACATAGAGAACATGAACACCTTTTTGTCATTATTTTATTTTAATAATTTACAACTTAATACTTTTTTTCATATTGGGAATTTTTAGGTATGATTTTGGGAAAAACATGCACTTTTCAGCATTGGGAATGGGGCCAAATTTCAGCCCTGGAGAGACCCTGCTTATAGTCACTAAAGAAAGAAACAGCTCCAAAAAACTTAAACCTGGTCACTCATCTGGAAAATGTAGGTCAAATTCAGAATCCAAAGAAAGTCCAGCAGTGTGCATTCTTTGATGTATCATCCAGGCAAGTTTGGTCCAGGTAGGGCAAATAGTTGCTTGGAAATAAGACCTACTCCAAGAACTTTAACCTGATCCAAAAACATTAATCTGGTCATTTTTAAGCTGAAATTGAAGCATCTGAAACCTTGACTGGTGCAATGAAACATTCTAGAAGCATCTTCCATGCATCTCTCATAAATACAGGGCACAGAAGTACTTGAAAAGAAATTTGCTCCAAAAACTTGAACCTGGGACACTGACACCAAGGGTTTTTACATAAGGCCTAGATAAATAAATTGTGTGTTTCTAGTTCCTCGACTGACCCCAAAATAATATGAGCCAACCTCAAAAATTTATTTGCAGATATCTTTCCAAGAGTAAACTATTCCAGTTTCACTATTAGAAATCCTAATTACGATCACTTCCGTGTTTCAGAAAATGCATATTCTATACACATTACTCAAAAATGTTTTGACAGCGATTTCCCCGGGGGGAAAAAGGTAGCGTGCTTGCCAATAAAATATTAAAATAAAATAAAATGTTTTCCCTACCTACCCTATTTTTTCTATTCATTTATCTTGGCCTAAGCTCCCCCCAATTTTGTTGAGGTGAGCTAAAAAAGAATATGTTCAAGTATTCCTCTCAATCTCTACCAATATCAAACAACATGCAGCTGAAAATTCTAGCGTATACAGTATACATTTATTTTTGCCCCTTTCACAATCGTAGCATGTGAGCAAATTTTAAACATGGTGAATTAATAGAAGACAAGAGTTATCTCTTTAACACAGTTGTTTATGGGAAAATTTTAAATGAGGCAAAAATGATGTGAGAGGGCCAAAATAGTATGGGGTGAAAATAACCCTGTAAACAATAACACTTTTAAATAAGCATATTTGTGTTCATAAGCCAATACATGTAAGCAATGAATACATAAATATATTATTGAAAAACCTGTAATGACTAAACAATTGGGTGAAACTCACTAAACTATGAAAAAAAAACATCTTTCTAGTTCTATTCATAGTATTTTATACCTAGTAAATCTATTTCAGTAAACAGCGTCATGTCCATGCTCAAGTTCTGTTGTTATCCTACATAAAGCTAGTTTTCGATCAAACTGCACTTTAATTTCTTCCCGATCTTAAGTTGAATTTTTTAATTTAATCTAAATAATAATATGTTTCTTTGTTTGTTAATATGGGAATGAATGGTTTTAACTTTTGCAAAATATATGTAAAATAACCCATGTAAGCAGGTTGTGCAAATTTTTTTTCTGCAATGGTTGCAACCATTAATCCTGCATTAACAAAGAAAGAAAGAAATTTTATTGTTTATATTTAGGTCCATATAAATAATCATATAAAGTAGGTTTAATTACATAAAATACTACATCCATATTATACAGAAAGCTGCAAGCCACGAATTTTTTTTTAATTTCAACCTCAGAAGTCAACAAAGGAAAATTGTGAGAAAAGTAATTTTGTTTCATTTCTTTGATTAAATCATGTGATAAAATGATTAATTAAGATAATATTTATCAAATAAGTTATCACAAATTATTTACTTTTGAAAAATTTTAATAAAAGTAAAAATAAAGGTGTTTGAATTTACCAGACTTGTTTCTCTTAAAGTCACTTAATTTCGGACACCTGCTTTTTTTCCATATCATGTTTAAAAAGATTAAAAATTCGATAAATAAATTAATTAAAAGTGCAAAAATAAATTAATAGGGAGGGCAGTGAGCGGCGCATAGCGCTGCTCATCACTGCGAGCTCTAACGACAACACCTGGGCAAAGAGAAAATTTGGACTACTGCACATTCATTCAATTTATTTTTTTCCATAGTAATTCTGGACCCACAATGCATCGCTTGTTCTCGCTGCTAACTTTGTTCACGCGGTAACAACAACTAAATATTCACAAAAAATAAACTCACCTTAATTCAATAGATATTGCATACAGATAGATCTAGTAGATCAAATGTTCTTTGTTAAAATTTTTGCACTTTTCAAACTTCGTTTATAGAAATGCAGCTATCATACGACGTTTATGTGACGACACAGTCTATACGTTCCAAATGTCTTGTGCGGTTTTAAGAGGCGGATCTTAAAATTAAGTGAACAATGCGCTTGCCCAAATGGTCGCACCGTCAACATATTATACCTACATTGCAAATTATTACACCTGCCTGATTTACTGTTTTATTTAATCAGAGAATTTTAGGAAATTAATATTTTAAAATTTAAAAATGATGCCTCATCACGCTCTTCTAGATATGTAAGTACAGTAAGTCATAATAAGAAATTTAACCATTTATGCTATCTACAAATCATGAGGAAAAGTATCAAAATTATGTACACATGCATACAACTTCCATATAAATATAACCAGAAATTGCACTTGTTATAACAAAAATGCAAAGAACACTAAGCTTCTATATCACATGTAGAAATCATATGACATCATTACTCTATAACATCACTTTATAATTTATAAAACAATTTTTATAACTGTATTTATAATAATAGAAGACTTAAGGTAAGTACCTTAGCTAAGATATAAATGTAGTGTTAGATAAATTACAAAACTTATATATTACATGTGCACTTTTTTGTTTATACACTAGAAAATAATAATACACATCTACCGGAAATGGCGAGGACAGGTTTGTCGTGCTAGAATGAATGGCCATTACCGAAACAAACCTGCATGGAGTTTGGGACTAGCACCTGATGAGAGTTCCCTCACAAAATTACTGGCATACTAGCCTATATCTTTTGGTATTTTTGGCATATTTTAGAATAATAAATACGCTATAGCACAAACTCAAAATTTCTAAATTTTATTTGGCATAACTCCTTCCTGGTCATTTTCTTTATTACAATTTTCTTTTTGGTTCACAAATACGCACATATACAAATTCCTATAATCTATCATAATCAAACAATGTATAATACTGCATGTTGGTTTTATAGAATTATTTGTTGCCTACTTACAGTATAATAGCATGCTTTTTGAAATATGTATAGTATTATTTGCTAATTAAAAAATAACTTATAAAATCTAAATTATTGTTTAACGTTGAGTGACCAGAATCGCAGTATACATTGAAAAATTTTGAAAGGTTTTAACCCCCCCCCCTTTTTTTTTCAGTTTTGTCTATAACTTGTGTTAAATATTTATTGAAAAACAACCCCCCCCCCCTAATTTTTCGTTACTATTTAAATTGTATCAACTCTCATCTTTATTTTCCCTGTTTATTGAGTTGACATTATACTACATGTATGGCCGGCCACCAAAAAATTGATTGCTTCAGTCTCCTCGGCTGGGTGACGTGGTGGTGTGTTTATTTATTTATAATTTATTTATTTTTTAAAAGATAAAAATAGATATACTAAGTATATCTATACGGTCATGCAGAGGCCTGCCCATCTCTACTTCACTAAGGAAGTGTTGAGGAGATGGAACAGTGATTTGAGGCTGGAAGCATAAGGTGAACAAATAAGAATAATAACAATTCTTATCACCAATGAACGATTTATCATAATAAGATTAATCAAATATATATAAATATACAAAATACAGAAGTAGAAATGACCATGATCAATAAACCCTTGTTAAAAATCATTAAATCAGTGCATTAGACACTAAAAATCAGCACCAATTTAAAAAAAAAAAAATCATTGTTTTTTATTTTTTAATGCCAGTTCTGTTTATTCAGAATCTTTGGGCCCTTGAAATGCATCACTGGCGGCTGGTGCAAGTTACCATCTCTGTCATGAGGATGACTATCCTAATGACATTTAATTGTGGACGATGCTTATAAAAAGACTTACTTAAGGCGACAAAATGCGGAAGCGGTACGATATTTGTTTGAACATTTCCTGCAACAAACTCGCATCGCCGGTAAAAACTCAGTTTGGGACCCTTTATTCCCCTAAATATTATAACCATCTTTAAACTTGATTGTCAGTCTTCAAACAATTGCCAGTCTTCAAAACCTGTGTTGAAGAGCTCTCATTGTCGTGATAGCTTACTGAAATTGAGACTTTTTTAAAAACTTAAATATCTGTGTTTGACCTCCTCCCAATGATAGCCAACATAATAGCGAGCGCAGCGAGCGGCGCGAAGCGCCGCTCGTCACTGCGAGCTCTAACGACAACGCCTGGGCGAAGAGAAAATTCGGACTACTGCACATTCATTCAACAGAATTTTTTTCAGCAGTAATTCTGACCCACAATGCATCGCTTTTTGTTCTCGCTGCTAACTTCGTTCACGCGGTGACAACAACTAAAATTTCACAAAAAATAAACTCACCTTAATTAATGGCTATTTCATGCAGATAGTAGATTAAACGTTCTTTGTTAAAATATTTGCACTTTTTAAACTTTGTTTATGGAAATGCAGCTAACATACGACGTCATGTGACGTCACAGTCTAGACGTTCCAAATGTCTCGTGCGGTTTGAAGAGGCGGATCTTAAAATGAAGTGAACAATGCGCTCGCCCCAACGGTCGCACCGTCAACATATTATTTTACCTCAAAATCAGTATTTTTCACACAGGTGAGAAACACAGTGTTGTACGAAGTTTTCCTTAATTTTTACTTGGCTAGTCAAGCTATGTGAAAATACAAAGTCTCTTAACAACAAAAATTACAAAGGCAAGCCGCAACATAAAAATAATTTTAAAACTTACAATATTCCACAATAAGTTACATATTGGATTTTCTGCTTCTTCGCGCACTTTCGTTCCGCATGCGCCTTTCTGCACCGGATGCGGAAGTTTAAATGTAAAAATTCATGTCGGTCCGGTGTCTGGACCATTCCAGTAGCAACATAAAATGGGAGTTACTGTCCAACAAATTACCCCTGGAAATGGTATTTTTTTTTATCAAATGTTTAATTATAGCTAAAAGGGACATAAAAATGCAAGATGTAACAAACTGATGTATATTGATTATGCTTAAGTAAGGTTGGATCGAAATTTCACTTGGTGTCCCAGTGTGTTGCTGTTGTGCTACCACATTAAGATTAGAAACAATGTAAACAATAACCAGTGAGCGTAGCGAGCGCCAAGCTTGAGAAGCTCACTGGTTATTGTTAATAAAACTGCCAACACCTGTGTTTCGACGTTGACATTTCGTTGTCTTTGCAATTTATGTAAATATCGTTCTTGTCATGATTACATTTCCTCAAAATCTTAATTTCAATGTTCTCTGCCAAAGAGAACAAAACAATTCAGAACACAGAAAAACCTTGTATTCAACTGGTAGAACTGCATTTAACAAGAACACTAAGTAAATGCTAAATAATATGTTGATGGTGCGACTGTTATTGTGAGCGCAGAGAGGTCACAATCTGGGGTTAAAACTAATTATTTCATTGATCCTGATCATCCTATTTCTCTTGCTTTTGGGTAATAAAGCTTCATCTATCAGTTTGATAATCTAAGAAATTGTTATATTTGATAAAAACAATAGTTTTTATCTGATCAGCATATATATTTAAAAAATATTGTAATTTAAGTGCGACATGAAAATTTAAGTCATATACATGTACGCACATTGAATTAAATAGTCAACATTGATCTTGAATTTTAGAACTGATGTAAATGATGGACTATCTTTTACTAAAAACTAAGTATGCAATGTTAAAAGTTAAGCTCAACTAAGTTGACTCCTTCATACGACATAATGGTAATCTTTAACTAATTTAAATGATATTTTAATATAATTATAATATGCATATTGGTATTCTGGAAGATTTATTCATTAATTTGTGTAAATAAAGATGTTAAAAAAAAACAGAAACAATATAATTTGTCATTAATGGCTAAGAACCTTGAAGGAAGCAGAATTATAATAATTTCCTGTCATTCACCATGATGCTACATTCCTGCCGGGACATAACATCGTTTTTAGCTCAACTGAGCCGAAGACTTATGTGAACTTTTCTGATTGAAAGTGCCCGGTGTCTGTTATCTGTTGTGTGTTGTCTAAAAACTTTTCACATTTTCAACTTCTTCTCCAGAGCCACTGGGCTAATTTCGACCAAACTTAGCATAAATGGTCCTTGGGTGAAGAGGATTTAAATTTGTTCACATGAAGGGCCACACCCTCTAATTCAGAATTAGTAAAAATTTAATGGCATCTTTCAAAAATCTTCTCAAGAACCACTGGGTCAGAAATAAAAAAGATAAAACTTGTGTAAAAGCTTCATTACAATTATAGTGTATTAAGTATATCAGGTATTTTAGATTCAAGTTTGCTCAAATCATGATCCCCTGGGGTAGGTTTGCTACAACAGGAGATCAAAGTTACTGTAGATTCCTAAATATACGTGAGGTTTAATTATCGCGTAATTACTCGAGAAGCACCACTCGCGAAATAAAATGACTCGCTTTTATTTTTATGGTGCTGAAATCAATGTAAAATCTCTTGATCAACCGTCCACTCACGAATTATTGTTCTCGCGATTTGACATCAAAGAGTTATTTTGCAAAAATAAGTACTCGCGAAAAAGAAGGAATCTACAGTATTCATAGGAATATATTAAAAAATGTTTTAAAATCTTCTCCTCAAGACCATGATTAGTCATATTTATACAGAAGCATTCTCAGGTAGTTTATATTCAAGTTTGTGTATTTACAAGTTCCAGCATTTGTTTTGTATGAAAATCTTAACTTCATATACATAAAGGCAACTCCTAACCAGACACAATGCAGGTTAGTGAGGTTACAATTAATATTTTGCTTTTGCCTAATGTACAGCTTGACCTTTCCCCTCAAAAAACCAAGAGTGAACTCATAACCAGGGTCTTGGTTACGAGTTGACTTTGTCGTTTGGTTATGAGTTGACATGTTGGGCTGAAGTTGACTTGGTTAGTCAGGTTACGAGTTGACTTGATACCCATGAGTCTAAACACTGCAATGCCAAATTAAGCAACTTTGTCTACTGTTCAATTGTTCCTTTTGAAATATAAATTTTATAGATACACTGTAGGTACAAATTAAAGGAATTTATTTTGATTCGAATGCTGTATGTTCTGAATTGAATCAATTGATTACTACAGCATATATAAGTCCTTTATGTTTTATTTTTTGAACAGGAATTGAGTGTGGCATTTTACTCTAAAATAGGAATGCATTCTTTCTGAATGTGTGTCAGATAATATATTTTGTGATATTAAAAATTCTATAAAAAACTTATCTTTCCAGGTCAGACATATCCAAAGAAAGGACAAGTAGTAGTTGTTCATTACACAGGTACAATTTAATTAAAGCAATTCAAAAAAGATCATTTGTATGATTCCTCTCTAATCTTGACTAACTTTTTTCCCTGTTCTCCCATTTGCTAAAGGCTTATATGAGCTTCATTCAGATTTTGATATGAATAAGCAGATTTTGAATTCATGCAAAATTCAACTGCTAACATACATTTATGGTTGTGTCAAATAAACTGAACTGAAATTTATGTAGGGACATTAGAGAATGGGCAAAAGTTTGATTCCTCAAGAGACAGGGGGCAGCCATTTAAATTTAGGATTGGTCACCAAGAAGTCATCAAAGGCTGGGATGAAGGTGTTGCTAAAGTAAGCCATCATATGTTACCTGCTTCTCTTAGGCTTGGATGTTTATCTTGCAACGATATGTCTTTTTCATTCATTGATACATTTCAATCCATGAATTTTCAATAATGAGAGTTGTGACTGGTCAGCTATGGGTTGTGTGGCAATTTTTTTCCAAATCATAAGTAATTCATCATTGATTGGTTTTTCTTACTTCAGATCTTTAGTCCACTCTTCTTTTCCAGATGAGTATTGGAGAGCGAGCTATTCTGACTTGTAGTCCGGATTATGGATATGGAAGTATTGGATACCCAGGCGTATATCCTTATAACTATGTCACACATGTTTGATGTTTGTCTAATAAATCTAACTTCACATAATTTGAAAGGAAAGTTAAACAAAAAGTATATCTTAATTCTTATTAGAAGTATTGGATTATACCAATTTTTTATGTAAAAAAAAAAAAAAAATTAAAAAAACTGTTAACCTTTCTGTATGTCAGAGCATGCTGATTATCATTGATCAGAGATAGACAGGGCTTGTGAATACCATTATAGACATCATATCTTCAGAAAATATATGCCAAGAAATCATTTCTGTTAGTATATATGTACATGTATTCTATTTGTTACTTAAGAAGATTTGCTGGGTCATCATAAACTGCAGCTCAAGCTTGTCTTGTCACTCAAATATTGCGCAGTTTTTCATGGGAGAGCATTGTCAATCATTGGACTACATGTACATGTATTGAAATAGCTTTTAATTATGTTACCATTTAAACAAATTTTCCTTAACTAAGAATACTATCCCTCCCAATTCAAAGCTAGTGTTTGACGTAGAGCTGCTGAAACTAGAATGAAGCCACTACAGACCACCTATATATCTAATTTATTAAAACATTTCCTTTACTTCAATGGAACAATTTTATTTACAATGGAGGAAAGTGGAAGACTTGTCAAACAGATTTTCTATGTGTGCATATACATGTATTTTGATAAGAGTTTTGTGTTCATTAGGAATAATTATTTTTTATTATTACCTGTGGAGTTACAATATTGTATACTAAATGTGTTTTTAAAGACTTGCATGATTATTTGATATTTGTCCCTGTAAGTAATTTCTGATGATGAATGTTTGTGTTGTTACAAAACTTGGTTGTACTATTAATTATTTGTTACACAAGGCCATAGATCTAGAAGGCAGTTCACAAGTGTGTAGGTACATGTATCTTTGCAGAATAAGGTTTATGTGTGTTGTTTATATAAAGTAGAATATCATGAGTTGCTGCAACTTCAATAAGTTATTAGTATTCTGTCTGCATTTGAGAATACACGCTTGTTTCCAATGGTTCGCATCAATGGTTCGCATTAGTACGATAAATCTTGAAGGGTTTTGATGCAGAAATTTGAAGTCTTTAATCTGTGACAGTTGTTGTGCTTCACATCACAAGCAGTATGTATTTGTGCCTGTCAATTAACTGGTTTGATTAAATTAGAATATTCCTAAAGAGTAGTCTTTAGCACATGTGGACACATTTCATAATCAAATACAATTTGATGTTTGCAATGGAGTTCTCTAAGAATCATATGGATTTTTTTTTTTCACATGTGCATATTTTTGTTATTTGCAAGCAAATGCCTAATCCCAATTTATTATTAATTTTTTAAATTATATTTTAGAACACTCTTCAAAACAAGGGTCCTTTGAATGTTGAATATCAAAAGTCTTTATAGCAGTACATTTAAACAGATTGAACACACTTATTTATATTTTACTGCTTCATAAGGAATGGAAAAAAGTTTCACAATGACATGTGACCTTGTTACAGGGGGAGGTAAATTTAAATTTACTTAGTTGAAATAATAATGTTTGCAAATTGAAGAGACATTTTCTGTCCATTTCGTAACAATTTACATATTTTATCATCTAAGATTTCCGTAGTTTAAAACATAACCAAGGATTAAAGAATATGATAAATGTTAACAAATAAATCACCAGGGTGCAGATCTCTGAAATGTTAAAGTAGGGCTTATATTCTGTTTCTGTAACATGTATTATCACTGTTATGGGTTTTAAATCCCTCAGTATACTAATCTCATTAACTCACGTTAAATGAGACTACCTTTGAAAACTATTTTTATTTATCATCCAACTCTTTCTTGATTCAGTGGTACAATGTATCATTATACAGTAAAACACACTTCTAGCGAACATGCCTATAATGAACTGACACTTACAGTGAAGTGATTTTCATTCTTTGTTGCTTTAATACATGTATATATTATGAACTTATTGGATATAACGAATTAGGTTTATAACGAAGCAAAATCATGAGTCCCTGGCACTTTGTTATAATTGTGTTTTACTGTAATTCATTTTCATTTAATGGGCATTTACTAATTTCTTTTTATGTTATTTGGTCACATCTATTTGTATTTGTGCTATTTATGTGATATGAATCTTCTTGTAGCAGCGTGTGTTGCCACATTTGCATTGCTTGTCTTAGATTTATAATTTGTGCAATCAGAGAAACTCCAGCAACTCATTACTTAGTGTAAAATAAGTTCACTGCTAGAATTAAATATTAGGTTGTGAATATGTAAATATATTTTTATTTGCTTGATTATAAAACAGTTTTGAATGGAGCTATGAATTTGATTTTTATCTGATAATGTGAACACCTGATTATATAGTCAGGAACAAAATTTCAGGTTTTGTTGACTGCAATGAGGATTACATTATCTGTATGTTATTTACACAACACATCTATACTTGGTATTGGTTTCATCTGATCTTTTGAATGTATGAAATGTATGACTAATCTATGACAAAAAGTGTATTGCTTGAACTCGCTTTCCTTCTCTCACTGGTTCAAGAGACTGCACAGCTGTAATGAAACTCAAAGGATCAAACAGTTGATTAAATTATAGGTATAATCTTTGTGTCTATTGCATTGATTTAAAAAACTTTTCAGAGTTTCTATTTACTTTATGCAGTTTATAACATTTTATAAACAATCTTGTCAACATTGTGTTTTTTGCATTTTTGTTAAGTTTATTTTAATAAATGCATGTAAATATACAATAATTTTATTTCACTTGAAGTATTTACATGTATGACTAAATTTTACTCTTCCTCAGTTTTTTTTATGCCCTGTAATCGAAGATTCGGGGGACATTAAGTTTTTGGCTCACCTGAGCTGAAAGCGTAAGTGAAAGTGAGCTTTTCTGATTAAAATTTGTCCGTTGTCTGTCATTATCGCCATGGTAATCATAAACTTTCACATTTTCATCTTCTTCTCAAGAACTACTGGGCCAATTACAACCAAGTTTTCACAAAGCCTTGTGTGAAGAGGATTAAAGGCTGTCAAAATTTGGGATCATTGTCTTTTTACAAGGGGAGATAATTAAGAATTAAAAATTTAATGGCATCTTTCAAGAATCTCAAAAACCACTGGTCTAGAAAAGATACAATTTATGTGAAAGCTTCATTACACAGCGTAGATTCAATTTTGTTTAAATCATGACTCTTGGGGTAGGGTGGGGCCACAATGGGTGAACAAAGAATTACGTATATATGAAAATTCCTTAAAAATCTTCAGAAGAACATCAAAGCCATGGTTAGTCATATTTATTTGTAAGCACCCTCAGGTAATGCAAATTCAAATCTGTTCAAATCATGACCCCTTGGAGGGGGGGGGGGGGGGGCAAATATTGGCCGATCAACGTTTTACAGGTATATATAAGGAAAATCTTTTTAAAAAATTCAAGAATAGCAAAGCCATGGTTATTCATATTTTAGTTATTTGAAAGCATGCTCAGATAGTGTAGATTCAATTTGTTTAGGGAGGCGGGGGTTTTCATTGCGCAATACTTTGCTCAGCATAGTAAAATCAAGCTTATTTACACTTTACAAGCAATTATTTTCGTATAATTTATAAAAAATAAACAATATTAAGTAATCACAAGTTAAAAAATCTAATTACAATGTTAAAAAAACTAATTTTTAACGATTTTTGAATTGATGTCGTAATAGTGTGTTTGTGACCTTATAGTAAATGAAGTTCTTTAAGAGGGGTGGTCATAAATAATGTTATAAAAGATAACGTATAAAATATATGCTTTTGAAATTTTCAACATAAGAATTTGAAAACTTCAAAATTATTTTCTAATATATATTTAATATAAATTATTAGTACCTTGTCATATTTTATAGTATCCATAATTTTTTTTTTTTTTTTTTTTTTTGATGTCTTTTCCGGAATCCAGACGATAGAATTTTGTGTTTCTTAAATATAATATACAATTTAGTATTACTCATCATATATTATAATTTGAGCAAAAAGTATATTGTAGTATTTGTATAATTTGCTTTGATAGTCCGAAATTCTTGGACTCTCCCATATAATGCTACAGTAAATGTATCTGTATTTTGAGACGGTCCCTAAAAAATAACCATTTTTTGCGCTAAACTTGGCATGCATACTAAAGTCAATGTAAGTTACATATTTTATAAAATTAAAGAGTTTTTCTATCATAGTTTTCACACAATAAAACCCCAGTCTGCTCCCTTAAATCATGACCTCCGGGAGTAGAGTGAGGCCACACTGAACTATTAAATTATACATAAGGAATGTATAGGAAAAATCTCTAAAAGCTTTCTCTAGAACAGCAAAGCCAGGATTAGTCATACATGTATTTATATCGAAAGGTCCTCAGATAGTGTGGACTCAAGTTTTTTTTTTTCAAATCGCGACCCCTTGGGGTTGGTTTTGGGAGACGATGGACAATCAAAGTTTTACGTAGGAGTACATGTATATAGCACTTATCAAGAACAGTAAAGCCGTTGTTAATCATTTTTTATCACAGGGATTTGATTTACTTTAATTTGACTGAAAAATGGGAGGGGTGTTTAAAAAAAAAATACCCCTAATTCGTCATTCGGATTAACGTGATCTAAAGGCCTGTGATTTTTTTTTACCCTTTTAACCATCCTTTGGTATTGTAGATTCAGGTTTGTTCAAATTATGACTTATGACTTCGGGGTAGGAAGGGGCTTCAATATATATATATATATATATATATATATATATATATATATATATATATATATATATATATATATATATATATATATATATATTACATAGGAATATATGGGAGAAAAACAGCAGACTCAGATGAGCATTATGGCCCATGGACCTCTTTTCGATCTGTTCGTTTGTCTGTCTGTCTGCAAAATCTTCAACCTTTGCCATAACTTTTGAATGGTCGGTGCTAAGGCTTTCATTTTTCACATGTATATTCTGTCGTTCTCTTGTGACAAGGCCTTTCTCTGGGTACCAAAATTTTTGACCTCATGACATACAGGAGTTTCAGTTTGACTACTTTTGAAAGACTTTTACCTTGACCATAACTTCTGAACGGTTGGTGCTTGAGGTTTCATATTTTGCATTTCTTGTGACAAGGCCTTTCTTTGGGTACCAACATGCAGTTTTGATCTCATGACGTTTGAACTTTATTTGAAAGATTTTAGTCTTGACCATAACTAATACTGAATGCTATGCATGGCTTTTTTGCTCGTCAGACTTATTTTTATTTCAGTTAGGAAGAAAATAAAGAATCTGCCCTTGATCGTCTTGAAAGTCCATGAAAACTAGCTATAATTGTAACGGGGACCGTTACAGATGTTCCCCAAACGCTCCCCAACAACCTTTTGGTGTCTTATTTCCTGTAAGCTTCATTAAATAAGGCAATGAAGTATATCGGTCGTTTTTTGCATTTCACGCGCGCATGTACATGCATGTGCAGGATGACCATGTCATCTCATCTATACTATTAATGCATCTTTATATTCTCAGTATCAAAACATTTCATCAAAAAATATATAAGTTCCGGCTATATCAAGTATATTGGTCATCTTAGCATTGCACGCATGCGCACCTGCATGCATGTTCATAATGACCATGCCATTTTGTCTACACTTATAATATCTCTGTTTATTCTTAGTATGAAAGCTTTTCATAAAAAATATATATAAGTTATGGCTATGTTAAGTATATTGGTCATTTAACACATTGCACGCGCGCGCATGTGCATTCATGAGCATGATGTCCACATCATCTTGTCTACACTTTTAATATATCTGTATATTTTTAATAAAAAAATATAAAAATTACGGCTACATTAAGTATATTGGTCATTTAACACATTGCACGCGCGTGCACGTGCATGCATGTGCATGATGACCATGTCATTTTGTCTACACTTTTAATATATATAAATATTTTGAGTATCAAAGCATTTCATCAAAAAGTATAAAAGTTACGAGTATATCAAGTATATTTGTCATTTTACGCTTTGCGCGTGCGCACACGTGCATGCATGTGCATGTTGACCATGTCATCTTGTTTACACTTTTAATATATCCTTATATTCTGAGTATCAAAGCATTTCATCCAAAAATATAAAAGTTACAGCTATATCAAGTATATTGGTCATTTTACGCATTGCACGCGCACGCACGTGCATGCACGTGCGCGCAAAATGACCTTGATTCCGCAAATTTACATAACATGCCTATTAATCCTAAAAAGGTTTCACCTCAATCGGATGAGTAGTTGACGAGATCACTCGCGGACAAAAAAGTACCCAGGAAGAAGAAGAAGAAGAAGAAGAAAAATAATAATAATAACTAGACTCTTGTCGCCATGGCAACAAAAAAGTCTTCCGTTCTTCTAAATCTGTAAGAATTTGCTTTTTTCTCTGTCAAAAACAAACATATCATATTAACTGTGAAAGAAAAAATAACTGGAAAAAAGTCCTTTCAGTACTTATGGTACTTTGATTTTCATGATCAATCTTGTATAATGCATTTGGCACCTATGAGAGATATACGTATATCATAGAGCAAGGATGATTAGCAATTTAAAAAAATTGTTTGCAATCATTTCTAAGACAAACAAACAGACGAACGAACACCGTACTATCATAAACTTCACTGTGTATATGTTCTGGCATAATTATGATGGTGTTATAAAAAAATATAATGAATTAAGTTAGAATCACATTAAACGTAAAGTCACTGAGTTTTGTAAAGCTATCAAGATTTGACAGCATACCTATAAGAAAGATTATTCAATACAGTAATTATTCAGCAATTGATTAATTGATTGATTTATTATATGTTGTTTACGTCCCTCTCGAGAATTTTTCACTCACATGGAGATGCCACCACTCGCCAGAGGAGACTGCAAATTTTTTTTTTATACTTTGGCAATTATCACCATTGAGCAGTGAATAATCTTTTTTGTGCCAGCACCTTCTGCGACACGGGACCTCGATTTATACGATCTCATCCCAAGGACCGTTCTCCACGTCCCACAATCGAAGTTCATAATACCGAGATATTTTATTTTATTTTATTTTTTCACAAGTTTGTTGCATCAGATGTACTTAAAGATCATACTTCAAGATCATTTCGAACTCAGGCTACTTTTTTGCAGTGCATACAGCGTCAGGTTATTTTGATTGACAGGTCAACACACGTGCACTTCGTGTAATACTTTTTAAGCAGAAAAATATACAGGATGTGACCATGGCTGACTATGAAATCAGAAAACATTTAATAAAGAATGGGTGTCACTGATATAGAACTAATTTTTGGTCTATGTAAATGGATAGGAGGATCAAGATTAAGAGGGAATCTCTCTCTCTCTCTCTCTCTCAGACATGTAAATTGAACATTTCAGTATCATAATGACAAATCTACCATTATAGAATATGAAATTCTGTATACATGTAAATGTAATTATAACCACATGTTCCAGATTTAAATCTAAAACGAAGATATAATTCAAATGCCTAGCTGCACGGACATCTCCAAATATTAATCAAGACCGGGGGGGGGGGGGGGGGGCTTCAAAGGAATTAGATAGTTTTATGTTTTATGAATTATAAGGAAAAAGTACGGACGTCAGTTGCATGTACATAATTATATATCACTGCATAAAATTGTGTTCATTCAGGTTTACTTATCCCACATATCAAGAGACCTGTGCAATTTTTTTTATCATGGTTTTTTTTCCAAAAGAAACATATAGCG